CGCACCAAACCGAATCTTCTACGCTAATTAACTAACCATGGAGGGAAAGTGACCAGGGGTATTTGGCATGATGGGTGATTAGTTATCGGTTGTATTCAGAAGTTACTTGATATTTCCCTAGGACTAGTGTCTTGTTCCGTTTCACAATATTTTCCAGATATGATTGTTGCATTGGCGTGTGGTAGATAGGGAGGTTAGCTGAGTAGGAGACATAGTTATAGACAAGGGAGGAGGAGGAGTAACTTCGAATGAGAGGAGAGGCCAAAGGGGTTTGTTGGAGCTGAGCTGGGTTGTTTAGTACGCATTTAGCGAATTTCGCATGCTCTATTGGTCTATTTGGTTATGCTGAAACATACTGCTTCTTTACATTGATGGAGCTGGTGCATTGAGCGAGTATTTAGAAATCCGGTCTTATGTAACATTGATCGGTGCAGCTAGTATGCATCAATACGTCGATATATTCATGGGTGGAAGATTACCGATAATACTAAGTAGGTAGATTGCATTGAGAGCAGAATAAAGCCAAGGCCCACTTAAGCATTTAGGTAGCAGTAGCCCTCTAGCATTCAGTATCCAGAAGTTTCCAAACTCTGGTCAAAAAGAAAGAGCATACATAGCCAGATGTATGTACGTACAAGTAAAAGTATCCCGTCCCAAGATGGACCAGTGCAAGGAAAGGAAAGAATAAGGAGGTAGCGGAGAGATAACCAGGATCCATTACCAGTTCCAGCAGACTCTTGCGATTTCCCGCTTGGAAAAATCAAAAGACACCAGCTCAAGTGGGCAGGAAAAACAAAGAGATAAAGAAAATCTTGATTTAATGATTCTGGTCTCGTGGTTCATCAATCTGTTCAGGTCGAAGGAAAGGATAAGAAGGGGAAGAGAAAAGAGGGTGCAAATAATAACAGGTAGAAAAAAAAAATTCACATTTCATCCGAGGCTTGCTTCGTCAGACAGAAGGATTGGGTCATCGACGGGGCAGAGTCCTGGCCATGTGTCCATGCACAGTGTCAAAAAGGAGAGAGAAACTTAGGCCGAGGCTGAGGATCTCTCTCAAAATCCTGCCATGACATCAAGATTAACCGTCTAGTTTATTCCGGGTAGAAATAGAACTGCGGTGCCTGCAGGAGCTCAAATCCAACAAGAAAAAGTAGAAAACAAAAATAAAAGAAAACAAATCATCCAAGCTTTGCACGTCCGTTACGTCTCAAAGTCACATTATGTACGACGTTGGCATTACATGATCGGGGTCTTACGCTTTTCAGCGCTGGAGAGCACAAGCATGGGAGTCTTGCGTCTTTCCTGACCCTGAGCTACCGTCTTCTGGCCAGCGACGACAGCAGCCACTGAGGGTGATCCGGTTCGAGGAGAGGCCTGATCCGCTCGAACCTCGGCAAACTTTCCGCCAAAGAAACCGCCATCTTCGCTGATGGGAGTGGTGTTGTAGGGGCTATCCTGGGATCGGCGTTCTCGGGAAGACCTCTCCTTCCTCTCAGAACCAATGGCTCCGTTCGCAGCGGCGCGCAGACTACCCAGGCTGGGTTTGCTGGACAGGCTACCACTGCGAACCGTAGCGTCATCCCCATCGGAGAACGTGAATTCCTTCTCGCTCGCAGGGGTATTGGTGCCACCACTGCTATGGCAGCCAAAGCTCCGAGTTTCGCCACGTCGTTCAATGCCCGCACGAACCAAGTTGTGCACCGCACGTCGACGCTGACGGGTTGCGAAGTTCTTGCTTCCCTCGTGCTTCGATGTTGGCTTGGCTGTAAGCTCCTCAAGGGAAGGTGGTCCACGGGGTTGGCGGATCGGGTGCTCGCCCGCACGAGCCTGTCCGGGCCCAAAGGTTCCAGTAGCTGGGGTCTGAGGCAACGCCGCAGTCTTGGGAGCTGCGGGTGTGATGGCAGTATTGGCCTTGGCCGTGTCAAGTGGCATCTTGAGCGCAGGGTTGAAGGATGAGCTCTTCTTGTGACCCCTGCGGAAAGCATTCGCCGAGGGAGGAGGCAGAGGAGCAGTTTCTTGCGGGGAGGAACGGCCGCTGGGAGGAGACACAGGCTGAGAAACATTCACAGGAGATTGGCGGTTTTCAGGCGGCGGTGACACCTCAGCTCTGAAGGTAGGTACCTGAACTGAGGGGGACTGGGTCTCCTCTTCTTGGTACTGTGGCGTACTGTCCTGTTGGAAGGTATTGTCATAAATATAGTTTTGCTGCCCAGTCAAGGGGTTGTAAACCGAGTAGAGGCCCGGCTGGCCAGGAACAGGCTGCACCACAGGCTGCACGCCTTGCTGAAGCTGCTGCTGGTAAAATCCCATACCGGGGAGGGACAGAGAAGGGTAATCCTGTTGCTGCTGCTCGACCATAGGGGTTCCCAGATTAAGACCCTGAAACTGCTGAGCGGCCGCGGTGACGCTGATCAGCTGCTGTTGCAAGCGCTGTTGCTGGGCAGCCAAGAAGAGGTTGGTCGACATCAGCTCCGCGTACAGGCTCTCGTCGATCTGCGTATCGCCAGCGATGTCAAGAGCCGGAGGTGCGAGCACCTGCTCCGGCAGAGTGTACATGGGGCGCCCCGTGTTCATGTCCAGACCCTGATTGACGGCTAATGAATGACGAGGGAATCCGGTTCCCATGGCGGTTTGAGGAATGCGATCTGCAGTTCGGTTCGAGAGATTGCCATATCTATCACCCTCCAAGCCAAGGTGCTGCTGGCGTTGAGAAGCCGAGGGCATTGTGGCTGACTTGGGAGCCGTCCTTAAACCAGCAAGCAGGTGCGAACGGCTGGTGCGCGGAGTCGGGATCGGTGCAGATGGCTGAGACTCATCGATGGTCGAGATGTGCGGTGGAGGCACGCTCAAACGCTTGATATGGGAGCCTTTCCTGCGAGAACCAAAGCTGGCTCCAGGCACCCCGAGGGCACTGCCATTATTGAAAGAGGAGTTGTAGGTCATTTGAGCAAGACCGCCAGTGTCCATACTCGTAGCTATAAAGGAGTATAAAACAGTATGTGCAATTGACGAAACGAAACGGTGCTAACGATTTAGCGATTGGAGACGCGATGTGGTCGACCACAAAGGATCCTTCGGCGTATTAAAATATTACAAGGTCGAGGATAGGATGGAGCACCGAAGTGAATAACCGACACCGGGAAACGGAGGGGTTAATAGGTAGGCAACGAACGGGGCGAAAGTCCGGACTCCCTGCAGAAAGCGGTGTTAGCTTGGCTTTTGGAGGCAGTGTCCACGGTGAAATCCAGTACCTGCAGAATACAAGAAGGCACACGCAGAGATGTGCCTTGATAGAATAGGCGAAAAAAAGCCAAGGAGTGATTAATAACCAGGTGTACAAGCGATTATAGGGCCAGGCGTCAGAAGCCGATGAAAGGATTCAACTGGCTCACGAGACGGAAGATGGGGACGCGACCGGTGAGAAAGGAAGACCTGAGCGAGTCTCGGATGACGAGAGGACGGAGGTTATCTGTATTAAAAGACAGAAGATAATAAACGGACCGGAGATGCTCTGCAACTCCCTTGTAACCGTAGAAATTGATGTTCGAGACACAAGATGCAGTAGACGAGAAGGTTCGGTCTACCGTTCAGACCGTCGAGATGGAAGAAGCACGCGGTCGCGGTAGGGAGGGTAAATCAAAACTTTTCGCTTTTCTGACGGAGTGTTCCTTAATTCTTTTTTTATCCACTTTTCTTCACTTCTTTTTACTATTCCTCCTTTTGTGCCTCTCCGTTTGTGACTGCTATTTTCCGCACGTCGAACCTGACGAAAAGAAAGAAGTGGAGGAAGAAACGAGAGGCGACGCCGGGTGCTTCGTTTCGGGAGTTCGGCGCGTGTTTGGCCGCTATTTTTCTTTTTTTTCTTTTTTTCCGTGCCTTTTTCCTTTTCCCAGTTCGAGTTCCGCGCTTAGAAGAGGACCGTCCAGTTAACCGGGAGCCCCAGGCAGACCACCCAAGGAACTTCAAGTTCTTTAGAATGTTAAGCCAACAACAGCGACCGCTCGTCGGAAATATGGAGAGTCAAGGAGTAGAAAAGGAAGGTAAAGTGGAGGTAGCGAGATGAATAGACACTATTGGAGAAGGAATGAAGGAAAAAGGGGGAAATAATGAAGAACTGAAGACGGGGTGGGTAGGGGAAGGGTGGTGAGTGGTAAGAGGCTGAGGGGGAAGCAGAGAAAGAGGGCGACTGAGAGAAGAGAGAGAGAGAGAGAGAGGGAGGGAGAGAGGAGGGAGGGAAAGAGAGGAACCAGCGGGGAAGGGAGATAGAGGCGTTGGTAGTGAATAGAAATAGCAACAGGACGACCAGGGAATGAAAGGAGATGAAGAAGGAGAAGCAGCAACAAGAGCAGGAGCAGAGAAAGGGACAGCAAGCAGACCCGGAGAGAAGGGAACTGGAACTATTGATTGGGATCGATCATGCGAATCACTCTACTTAGTGACGGTGATTACTGGCAGTGACTGACTCTCCTGGATGGCCTTGCGAGTCTGCCTGAGACGCTCGCTCGTCGCTCAGGCGCTCTTCTGCTTCCTGATTGGCTCGCTTCCAATCCCCTTAGACAGATTAGGCCTAGTGGAAGGAGGGGGCGACTGGCCAATTGTCCAACAGGGCCTCCTGATTGGTGCCAGCACCCAATTCCCCCGGTGGGTGCCTGAGGTGCCACGGCCGCACTGAGTTGGTGCATCCTTTCCTCCCCCAACTTATCGTGCGAGACGAGGATCTTCAGGAAATGAGCCGACCCTCTTTTGATCAGTAGCACAACACTGAATTAATATCAATCACTATTCCAGGGGCGATCATCTGACCATCCTTATCTGATTCACCCCATGGCCATCCTGGCCTTCTCAATTTGCATGGCCCCAACCCCCATCTTTATCTCTAACCAAGCCCCTCTTAGGGCTCCTCTACGGAGTGCACCGGAAGGTGGTGACTAATTGCACGGAGCTTTCCCTGCTCAAATTGCTTCAGATGCCCAGTCGGGGTGCTCAGGCCAGGCATGTAAAACCAGTATACCACAGTACGCTTTCACCCCCTGACCGATGCTTGGCTCTCTGCAGCCTGATATTGCTGCTAATAGTAGGACTATACCTCCCGGGACCCCAGCTCATTGGCCAGAGTATCTCATCCATGCTCACGTAATGCCATCTGGCCTCTGCCAGGCTGAAACGCCCCATGCCAGTGTTGCCTTCCCAACTGCCTAGCACGGGCACGTAATATCCTGTAGGTGTTCGTAGCAGCCATGCTCCCATATTGCATCATATAGCAGCGCTTTTTTGAGATGACACAGAAGGAAGATGATCCACTGAACACACATTGATTGTCAATCATTATGATTAGAGTAAGTTAACAGAAGATAGCAAATTCGTGTCACTGATCATCGCCATTATGTCTGCACTTTCCAAACAAGATCAGGACTTCATATGTCAAGGGTTGAACATAGAATTTATGCTCCTGTGTGCCACCGATATCATCCTTCGATAACCAGGGTATCATCAATTGTATCGAAATTAGCTTGCTAGCGTGGCCAGATCTTGAATCTCGAAACGCCAACAAGCAGTCCTTGGGGCCTTTTGTCTGAATATCACATACTCTTATTGCTGTGGACACTGTAAGTCATCGCTTAGCAGATAGATGGCAGCCGGCGTACCTAGTCAAGAAGCTTTTGGCGTCCCCTGTACAAAGCCTTTCCGACAAATGCGGAGGCTATACAACTTGAGCCTCGTTGTCCTTACTTGAGCCGGAGTGCGGCACACTATCGGGCCGTTTCTCGAGGTCACGTTCGAGGCGGGCTTTCTCCTCGTCCGTTGCGTCAGTTAGATGGACCGCAACTTCCTCGCCAAAGTTCTTCGCAATTTCCTCCAATGTCAATCGAGCAGTCTCCGGGAAGAAGAAGTAGATCACTAGAAGCCGCCTATCAATACCATATACCGAACTTGCAAGGGCGTAGCTAGCTTACCTGGAATGAAAAATGCGGACCAGCAAATGATAACCAGATAATACTTCCAGCCAACGTTGTCGAAACCCATTGGCGCGGTTTGAAGTAGGATAAGAGTCGCTGTCATTTGTTATTAGCTACAACGGCTTTACATTGCGAAGGTTTCTTACCGGCGAACTGTCCAAACAAGGAAAAGCCCATGCCAATTGGGCGAATCTCAGTAGGGAAAATCTCAGACACGTAGAGATACATCGTCGTATCACAGAATGTTCTGTTGAAAGATAAGTAGTCGGAAATCACAATCTGAGGTTATCGCTTACCCTTGGAATGCAAGGTAAAGGTACATGAACAGAATGCCAAATCCATTACCAACCCGGTTTGTGGTGCCCGCGTATTGTGCGGTCATGGCAGCCAAGCAAGAAGTGGTAACAATGATTCCGACAAAGCCTGTGATGTACATTTTTCGACGCGAGTTGACCTTATCGTGAAGCCAGGCACCAAGAGGGTTGTAAATGACACCTGAAAGCACGCCGGTTAGTCTTTCGCGCTTACAGTCAGGGCAGCTTCCATCTTACCAGCAGTTGTCAGCCAGACCGCACTCAGGAGCAGGGGCATACCGCCCGTTTCCCCTAGGTTGGTGTATAGAAGAACGGCATAGTTGTTCTGCGCGATGTAAGCTATCAGAAATCACGTAGATCTCAGTAGAGAGGAACTCACAATGATCAGAGGTCCGCCAAATTCAGCTCCCCATTGGGTCAGAAAGCCGATAGCCATGCGCTTCCTATACGACTTCTTCTTCAGTACTGCGTTCCACACATTGCCGTAGGCAGACAATCGCTCCCCCTCAAGACGAATTTGCTCGGCAGTTTGGAAATATTCTTCTTTAGCAACCAGATTGTTAGGGTCATCTGGGGACTTGCGAAGTCGCTCAAGAACCAATCTAGCTTCCTCATGCTTGCCCTTACTGATCAGCCAGCGTGGAGAGCGAGGAAGCCAAGGCGAACCTAGCAGCAGGATAAGAGGTGGCAAGCACTGTAGACAAAGTGGGAACCGCCAGCCAAATGTGCCAATCTTATTTTCAGCAAAGTAGCAGGCATAGCCTACCCAGCCGGCAAGCATGTAGCCGAAGACCAAAAAGATAGCATGATGGCCAACAAGCCAACCGCGACGAAAGGCACTAGACATTTCGGAAAGGTACATTGGACAAACAGTCACGAGGATACCAATTCCGAGGCCGCAGACAAATCGCCCAGCTTGAAACATTCTAGCTAGTGTTAGCAAGGACTTGTGCTGTAGACGCCGGGGTGGGGGGTAGATGAAGACGCACTTGAGTGAGTTAGAACCTCCTTGAAGTGCTCCTCCAAACATTGAGAAGAAAGCCCCCAACTGGATATTAAATTTCCGACCAAAATAATCACACGACCACATTATGAAGAGCGTCCCAACCGCACCTCCAGCACTGAAGACGCCGTTCGCGGTAGATATAGCAGGAGTTGTTATCGAGGCATATCCCGGCTCGCCCTCCTGAGGCAGATTGAAGTATGTGAACCATCCCGGCTGACCGATAGTGCTTGAGATAATGGAGGAGCAGTAACCGTACGTCTATTGAAAATAGAAATCAGAATAGGAACAATTGCAGAAGAGGAGATTCCGAGCACTCACCATCGAACCAACGGCAACAAATATAGTGACCAGCCTATTATAGGTACTGGTTTGAGACCCGAACGTCCCCATGGCGAGCTAGGCCTCTGCAACGAATGTAGATCGAAGCCAAAGTGGGAAGAGAAAAAGAAATATAACCAGAAAGAAGGGCAAACAGGTCAACCCGCACGTTGCATCAGATGAAACAATATTGGTCAAGCCACGCGGCTCAATTTTCGATCATGTACCACCCGAAAGTAGCAGGTCTGGGACCGGGGGGTGAGGGAAAAGAGGCGGAAGGAATGCCGGGCAGAAATGAAAATGTAAACAACACTGTGTATGACAGTCAAGGTGCCGGCACATCAGCCTGGGATATATCTCTCGGCGCAGGGTAAGCGGGCAGAGAAAAGGCACCTCTGGGACTCCCACACATCCTGCACTAACTTGCTTAGCTCGTGGGAGCTTTCTAGCTTTTCCCTTGAGTATACTTCGTTTGCGTTAGAGCACCCACTGGCCGGGGTGGAGTTGACGACGATGTGAGTGGATCCACCAACCACCGACCAGCGACATGACGGCTGCTCAATCACCTGAATGAAGAAGCATGACCGTCCGTTGCCATTCGACAATTCGTTTGCTCTAGACCAGGGGAGGGAAGAAAGACGATGCATTAGTTGTCGTTGCCTCGCTAGCCTGACAAAAAACGGTCTTCTGCCAGGAAGGGGACCGACGCTAAGCTCTTTTTGGGAAGTCTTGTGCTGTTCACTGCATGTATGTACGTTACCGTTATATGCCTGTAAGTATGTTCTGCCGCTTACTCTGGATAGTTAACTCACTACCTCAGAATAGGCAACTGAAAGGACTTAAAGTTCTCTCCATCTCCACCTTGACAGCTAAGTTTTCCGTTTGGGTTTATTGTGGCTGCCCTCGATCAGTTGCCAGTCTTACTCGTGTGGTTCATGGCTCTCAACCGATAAGATGACCCATAAGATATCAGCTAAGATCCACTTGTGGTGAGCATGGTTCAGGTCGCGATTGCTTTGTAACATGGTGCGTATGCACGCTCAGGCATACTAGACAGACAGTTTGGCCGTATTAGTAACCCCGAGCCCTCTTCCAACCTCGGGTTTTGTGGACTCGGCGGGACTATGTCAAACTGGTGCAATCCTCAGTATTACGTTTTGCGTATAGCGCGTGAATCCAAACAGGGGGGCCAAAGTTGGGCGCGGAGGGAGTAACTTTGTAACTTAAGAAATGCGGGCCTGGTAGCCCGTCGCTGCGATCCGTCTATTGATTTTCTGGATCCAGTGCATCCGCTATGACAACGGCGCCGAACCGGCCTTTCTTCTCTCCCCACCCTGTTAATTTGGGATTAGTAACTATTGGAAGCGATAGAACTACCCTCCAAAGGCTACACAGGTAGGTACCATCGTGCAGTGAAATATTAAAACCTGGTATGCGTACACGGGCTTAGCTAGCTGTTCATCTATCCCTGATTTTCCATCACCCAACGTGCTGTGGCGTGTCTTTATCTTCTATCGGCCTTGCTATCTTTCTCAGAAATATGTCGGGTAATACTAGTCGGTCGCCTTTCGATGTACCGTTTGACGAGCTGCCAAACCCAAAGCAAGTATGGATTGGCAAGCCAGGAAGTCGCGAAGAAGGATTAGGGAAGCTTGCCATCTTGACGCCAGAGGTGGTAGCCAATGCTGCTGCCACTGAAATCAAGACCGGCCGTCGGGTGACGATGGGCTGGGAACTGACCAAGTTGGATTATCCTAATCTGAACCGTCAACCATGCCACCATCAGATCATTCCGCTTTTGGGCGGTGTGGCTTTCGACGATGTCTATACAATGAATCCTCGTAGGTTATGCACTATTCTTCCCTTCGCCCGCGGTACCCACCCCCCTGGGCTGACTCAATCATAGAACAAAGTAGCCAGTGGGATGGTCTGCGGCATTTTTCACAGACGGTTGAGGGCCAAACCGAGCGTGTATTCTATGGCGGCGCAACAGTCGAGGAAATCAATGACCGAACGAACGATCGGATCGGCTTGCAGCATTGGGCAAAAGAGGGGATTGCTGGTAGGAACTGAACTATTTATTGATTGATTTTTCTGGGTAAGCGACTAATTGCGGTGTCGCATGCTGTTCGACAGGTCGCGGGGTATTGATCGATTATGCCACATGGGCAGAAAAGAGGGGAATAAGATACAGCACATTCTCGACACATCAAATCCGGCTTTCGGATATCAAGGAAATTGCCAAGGAATATGGCATTACTTTCCAAAAGGGCGACATACTTTTCATTCGCATTGGGGTGACGAAGGAATGGGATACAGCCATGACAGATGACCAGAAGCGACAATACTCTGACAACCCGAGCCCGGAGCATGCAGGTGTCGAGGCAACTACAGATGTGCTGCGATGGCTTTGGGATACCGGATTCGCCGCAATTGCTGGTGATGCAATCAGTTGGGAGGTATGCTATCCACTGATATTTTACATTTTATTCAAAGCATCACTATCCAAGTATTTGTCACTGACATGTAGCAGGTCTATCCACCCCAGTCGCCTGATCTGTTCCTGCATGAGTATGTGCTTGCAGGTTGGGGTATGCCAATCGGTACGTTGAAATCAATTGCATGGGAATATGAAGCGGGCTCCAATAGCATACTGACCGGATCTACCTTTTGACAGGAGAGCTATTTGATCTAGAAGCGCTGTCTCAAATTTGCCAAGACCTCCAGCGCTGGACTTTCTTTGTTGCATCTATCCCCCTGAACATGCCCGGAGGGGTATCTTCACCCCCAAACATCATGGCTATCTTTTAAAGCGGATCTACCAACAGTGCTTACGAATTGCAGCCGAGCCGTTCACTAACGACAGCCACGGACGCTAAGAGCGGAATACCTTTTCCGACTACCCTTCTCCCCTATCTGCGACGAAACTGGAGAGGTGGAGATCTTCAATGGCTACACATAACCGAGATGCAAAAGAAGGAGGGACAAAACGAAGTGGGGAAGAAGTGTAGTAAGTGCATCTAAGTAAGCGACGAGAGAAAATGAGAAAGCACATACGTACCTCTGCGAACATCGGGTGTAGTAGAGCTATAGTAGAAATCTGCCCACTTTCCAGGTGCCATTGCGACCAGCGATGGCCACTAGTACAGTGCGCGGAAACTAGACCAGTCCTGTAACCAGTCGGATTTCAAAGAAGAAACCACAGCATACAGATGTAAATGCCTGCTCGTGGAGTGGTTGATCCAAGTCAGTTCGATGAGATATCTGAATCCAAGAAGCCAGCCCATGGAGTACTTATTGCGAAAACTCAATGGCAATTAATACCCTCTGATAAGGTTCGAACGGCGATAATTCGGGGTCATCACCAGGGTCACATGGAAAACAGAATGTCCGGGAGATTCTGCCACGCGTGAAAGGGGACACAAAAGCAACGCAGGACTCCACTTCGAGTCTATAGTGCGTTTGCCTTTCATAGCTCGGAGAAACGTTTGCTAACCGGGGAGCAACTGTGTGACCAGCCAGACAAGGCATTGCTTGACTGCGTAGTGGGTTAATCTGAAAAATTTGCTCAGGACCCTCAGCTCTCACCAACTCCTGCATCGTACTTCTGGTCTCCCTATTTTTTTTTATTCCTTTTTGTCTAGTCATCAAAACAGCCAGTCGATTAGTTTCACAATAATCTAAGACGAGGCCTGGCTATGCCGGGTAAGGCAAGATTGACGTTCCCGAGATCCACCATTGGTAACAGCGTTGCATCCGCACGGGCTTTAAGTTCTCTTAGGCGGCTGGCGGACCCCACTTGCCGCCCGGCGCGCCGCTGCCCCCCCGGCCCCGACCCAGCCCTGATTTACCCATACGGTATGAGACGGTAAGCGACACCTGATCCCAGTGATGTGCACCTCATACCCGCGAGGGATGGATCAGAAACTGGCGTGGCTTTCGATCGACGTCTCTCTTTCACCCACACACCCACCCCCTCCTGTTGTTCTTATCCATCTGCTTCAATAATTGTGTTGGCTTCATTACATTCTAACGCCAGACCAACGCCATTGAAAGGGCGGAGCCTGATCATCTGTTGATCAAAATTCAATCCCCCAGCCCTTGGCCGATTGCACGCATGGGTTCCCGCTTCATCGCAACGCATGTGCAACATGTGAACCTGGGGAGGGGACAGTGAGCTTTGACACTGACCTTGCAGATTCGTGCATAGTTACACCCTCTTGTCCCAGCGTTACGATTTAGTCATCGCCAGTCTGGAGTGGAACGGGTCCCCAGGCACTAAAATTCGAGCAATCAATTTTCTGCGCCGAACAGCGGCGGATGTCGGAGATGAAAGACAAAAAGACTCTTTTCCATGCTAGTTAGCAATCAGGCAATATTCTCGAGCACTTGGCGAGATCGCCCACGTACTACCGAGCATTAGCCCACACTTGGCCCTTTATTCGGAAAAAGTAAAGCCCATGACTAGTCGTACTTCCTTCGTTGCACCCCTGTCTTTGACTAACCCGGCACCCTGTCGCAGGATGCTCTGCAAAGGAGTAAATTCCTTAGGCCCTGCGCTATCGCCTTCAGGGGCGACGGCGTCCTTCTAAATAAATAAAAAAAAAAGGCTTGGTGCTTGTGACAAAGGACGAATCGGAGAGCTTTATTGCCCGTGATGTATCGTCCTTGATTGATGTGTCATGAGCCCCGACTTCCCAAATTTGGTTGTGATATAGTCTTAAAGGGGACTTAAGCCCAGACTGCTGGGACGTTAAATAAATTCCAGCACCTTGGAAGCGCTTTCGTGAAGCCCTACCCGTTCGTCACGATGCTCGCAGAGCTGCTTGGACGTGATGACACCGGCACAACAGATGGGCATGTTGACAGGTCGGTCCAGAAATGGAATGAGGCGACACAGATATTATGCATCACTACAATGACGATTTTCTTTGCTCTGCGATGTTTTACTCGCCTTGTCATTATGGACGGCTTTAGGAGAGAGGATTGTAAGGGCCTGATGATCAGCTCCAGATGGCCAGTGCTAACCGACTCACAGGGACATGTCTAGGTGCCTGGGTAAGGACATTGATGCCAACCTACTGGGAAAAGACGCTCATCTATTTTATTGGCAGTTTCTTGGTGTGTGTTATTCGGTCATTGCTTTGATCAGTAAGTATAAACACAAGCCTTGTTCGGAGATTTGCTGAGTATTAATCCAGTGGGACACTTTGGGGGCGGGGTGCACTACGCGGATGTGCCTGTATCCCATCGCATACCCTTCGAAAAGGTATGATGATTATGTCTCTTACAGTCCCCAATTTGCTGTGTTAACTCGCTCAGACGGTGTATGTGACAATGGTCATGTATGGCCCGACCGCATATCTGACAAAGTTGTCCCTACTTTGGATCATTGCCCGAGTCTTCAGCCCTTATCGCAAAACCGTTATATTCATCTACGTATTCTTGGGTGTTATGCTAGCCTACTATATTCCAGCGGTCATCGTCAAGATCCGGATCTGCGACCCAATAGCGAAGTTCTGGGCCCCCGACACATTGGGGTCATGTCTGGACCAGACATCAATCATTCTTGCCGATGCGGTTGTCAGTGTCGTTAGCGATATGACTATCCTCATTCTTCCCCTACCTTTGACGGTAGGGTTGCAATTGCCGATGAAGAAGAAATTGCGAGTCATGGTCGTATTGGGAGCCGGCGGACTAGCATGTGCATCGAGTATTGTCCGTCTGATCCTCATTATTTTGACGGGGCAATCGCAGGACGGGACACTGGCTTTCATGCGCATTAACATGTTTGGGTATGGCTGCTCTCTAAGCATGATATCACTGTATCACCTAGCTGACATTTCTTTCGTCTACAGGAACGCCGAGATAACGATTGGGGTCATTTGTGCCTGCTTGCCCGCCCTTTCAGCCCTGGTCTCCCGTACCCACCGCGAATATACGAGCAACAAATACTCGAGTCATAAGAACACCCAGGCATCACAGTACGAGTTGAACAAGGTCAAGAATAGTCGTCCCAGTCGCACAGATAGGAGCAAAAACCAGATGACCCTGACGGAGGTCGGATCGGACCAGGACATTCTCATCCCCAACGCTCAGGAAGCGCCAAGGATCGAGACCACGGTCCGTGGCGATTCAGAGCGGCAAGGCACAGAAACCATGGGGATCATGAGAACTGTCGACGTATCAACTACTGTGACCTCGCGGTACAATGAAAACGAATGACAGGTAAAAGTCTTTTGGCGGTATGGCGGCGTTCCGGGGGATATCATTATGCTGTGCCTTAACCGGCTCACATCTCGACGAATCGACATGGTTTTCTTAACGTATCTATAATAATATAGTGTATCATATGCTTTCCGGACCTCATAACGGCCTCGATGTCGATTTATGTCTGTATATATTTTGACGCCAGGAAGCAATATGATGGCTGTTGACTTGCTGGAGCAATGTGATAAGTATCATAATGCACTACTCGAGATACTAAGGTTCTTATGGACCCACATAATTGACAGAAGCTTATATGTAGCATATAATCTGCTAATGAATTTTGGGTCATGAGGAACGATGAAGGATCACGGGTACCTGGGACGATGAACTATGACGTCATGTCCAAATGGAGTCAGTAGGGCACATTCCCGGGGTTGGCTCGTCACGAGATGTGGCTGCCGCGAGTTGCCGCATTGCAAAACAAGGAATCTTTGGCTTCGCTGGTGATGCTCGCCATTCTGCGGAGATCCAGTAGGCTATTTCTCCTGCGAGACTTTCTTGCATTTCTTGGACGGCCATCGAACCGGTCTATGTATCTTTGTCGTGACGGCTACTCCATGTCTACCCCCTTGGAATGAACTATCAAGCCATATGTCTTATCTAAAACATCTATCACAAATACTTTTCAGATTATAGCAAAGGCGATCCCTTCGGCTTGGGTAGCGGCGCGTTGCCTCAATCGAGATATGAACGATGATAAAGATCGACCTCCGAGCACGGAAAAAAGGTCGCTTTGCAGGAAGTTCCGAAATCAATTCAATCCGAGGCCTGCAGAAGATGATGGGCCACAAGACTGGTGGATCGCATCTACTGCTATTCCACTGGTAGCAGCTACCACTGCTCCTCTCGCAAACCTCATGTCTATTGTTGCCCTTGTGATGCCGTGGAAAAGCAAGCTACTTGGGCACACCGCATCATCAGGCGCACCAGCGCAGGAACTCATCAGTGATCCTCGATGGTGAGCGCAGATTGCAGGGATTTTCGCAAATAATGTTAACCCTACCAGGTGCATAGCTCTTAATGCCACATCACTCGCATGCGGAATCGCAGGAAACGTGTTTCTTCTGGTCAACTTTACGCGCACTATGCGATACATCATAGCCTTGCCCGCATCTATCATCCTCTGGTGCCTGGCTACATCGATTTTGATCGGTATAACTGTTGCTACGAACATATATGACGGTCCTGTACCACCTGAGCAGACCTATTCTCAGGCTTACTGGAGTGCGGTGATCGCAGCAGCTCTGTATTTCTTCCTTACTGTTATCCTAATGATCAACATGCTGGGATATGTTCTGGGGCACTATCCGCAGTATTTTGCTCTTACTGATGGCCAGAGAACATTGATATTGCAAACTACTGCATTCGTGGTGTGGCTACTAATAGGTGCTGCTATATTTAATGCTGTCATTGATGACATATCGTTTGGCGATGCACTATATTTCTCAGACGTCACAATCCTGACATTGGGGTACGGCGATATCACTCCTCCGACTTCGGTCGGCAAAGGCCTCGTATTTCCCTATGCGGTGATGGGCATCATTATCCTGGGTCTCGTGGTGGGAAGCATCCATGACTTTGCCCGGGAACTGCAATACGACAATGTTGTGCGAAAGCACGTCGAAAGAAAACGGCAAGCTACTATCGAGCACTCTATTTCACTAGAACCAGGCGCAGCGGATCCGCATCTCAATGACAAATCCAGGCATCGACCCAAACGTGGCGGACGCAGTGCTATCGACGCACTTTCATTGGTAGGCCGACCAAAGCTCCTCATCATGAGGGAAGAAAAAGACCGCTTCAACGCCATGCGAGCAATTCAATACGAGACCGTTCTCTTCCGGCGGTGGTACAATCTAATATTGAGCGTCATCATGTTCGGTATAGTCTGGACGTGCGGTGCTGTGGTCTTCTGGCGCCTAGAACAAATCACATACTTCCAAGCCCTATACTTCGGCTTTTGCTCCCTCCTCACGATCGGATATGGAGACATCACACCCACCACCAACGCAGCGCGGCCCTTCTTCATTGTCTGGTCCCTTATCTCCGTTCCAACAATGACAGTTCTGATTTCAGAAATGAGCGACACAATCGTCGTTGCATTCAAGCACGCCACTAGCGTTTTCGCAGACTGGACCGTTCTCCCACAGTCCGGAAAATACCGAGAGTTCCTCCGTAAATTCCCAATCCTCTATACTACTCTCCAGCATCGCGAAGAAAACAGACGGGTAACCGAAGGCTTCCACGTCGGGTTGGATAACGAAGAAAGAGGCACAGGAGCAGAGGACCAGCACGACTCCGAACATCCGCCCACAAGATCGCTCAAAGAACTCGCCAGCGAGCCAGACACAGCTTCAGGCACGGGAACAGGATCAACATTCCACTTTGCACAGCAACTCGCATACGCGATCCAGCGAACTACCCGAGATGTTGTAGAAGGGGAGCGAAAACGATATACCTACGAGGAATGGGTGGAATTCACACGACTGATTCGCTTCACAGACCCCAGCCCAGACGGCGTGGAAGTTCAAGAAGATGAATACGGGATCTTGAATTGGGATTGGATCGGTAAGACGAGCCCAATGTTAGCCACGCAGACCGAACCAGAATGGGTTCTGAATCGTCTCTGCGAGAGCCTGATTCGGTATGTCGACATCCAAGCGAAGCAGGCAGCAGGCACGACGAGAGAAGAAGACGAACCGACCTTGAGGAAGCAAAGGGAGATTAAGTTCGAGGATCAGTAAATAGTTTATCTACTTCAATTTTTGTACATACATGTATATTTCTTGATCTTTTCAGACCATTTTTTCTCAATTGGAATATCATAATAGACTCTGAGATCGAATAGAACATGTGACCCTCACACAGAGCAGCACTCTCCCTTACATCAAAACCAACCAACTATACTTACTTTCTTTGCCATATTTAAAAACAAAAGTGACACAAATCTCCCATTTCCATAATACCCAAAATGAACGAATCCCCTGTCCCGTGTAGATCCATAGGGTAGATGATCTGCCTCGGGCCATCCGGACTTCATTCCGTCCCAAAGTAACTTACCAACGTACGTAGTACCTAAACTCCCATCTCCGCACGACTCCAACCGACCAACCAACCACATGAAATCTGGAATGCAACCCCTCCCTGGATCAACGTCGTAAGAAAGAAAGGGGAAAGCCCCATTTTTCTTTCCCACTCTTCTTATCGCCAGAACAAAAAGCGGGGTAAGCTGCATCGTGTCATACTCTCTCTCATAACTGTGGCACATAATCCGTATATAAGAAAAGACAGGAATCGTCCCGTCTAGCAAAGCTAACCGACTTACTCACTCGAGGAATATTCCGCGTCTACATTTGCACTTACTAAGTAACTACCAACTCAGCCCTATATATCAACATGACGAAACAACTCGCTCCTGGCGCCCGACTGGAGGGCAAGGTTGCTATTGTTACTGGTTAGATTCCTTTCTCACTTCTTTTGTGCCCCCTCCTTTTACTATCCCAAGGCCAACTCGTACGACTGTTCGTTCGTCTATTTATCTATCTATATATTTATTTACTGTTTCCGACAAGATATGCCTCGATCTATACACAATACTAAAACAGTCTTTCCCATCACTAACTGCTAACGAGTAACAACAGGAGCCGGATCCGGTTTCGGCGCCGCCATCGCGCAGCGCTTCGCCTCTGAAGGCGCCAAGGTCATCGTCGCGGATATCAGTTCCGAGGGGGGCCAGAAGACAGCTGCCGCGGATCCGGAAAATATCGTGTTCGAGCAGATGGACGTGACCAAGGCAGCAGATTGGAAACGCATTGTGGAGAAGGCGGTGTCGTTGTTCGGGAAATTGGACGTGTTGGTGAATAATGCGGGCACGACGTATCGGAATAAGGTATTTCATTTTATTAATTTCCCCTCCTCTCATGTTCATTGTGTGCATTAGTGAAGTGAGACTCATGTATCGTTGATCAGCCCACGTTGGAGGTCACCGAGGACGAGTGGGAGCGGGTGTTCAATGTGAATGTCAAGGGAGTTTATCTGGGCAGTCAGGCGTTCGTGGCTCGGGTGATTGAGCAGGGCCAGGGCGGTTCGATAATTAATATCTCGTCGACGGGGGCGTCGAGACCTCGGCCCGGGTTGGTGTGGTATAATGCGTCCAAGGGGGCGGTTTCTAATGTGAGTAAAATGCTTATGCTTTTCCCTTTGGTGTGGGGTTCATCGGATACTGATAATATATAACAATCAGGCTACCAAGGGTCTGGCGGCTGAGTATGGGCCGCATAATATCCGCGTCAACTCGGTTGCTCCTCTTCTATCGGCTACGCCGTTGTTCTCTGTGTTCACGGGCATGGAGAATACGCCGGAGAACTGGGAGAAGTTCATCGGAAATGTGCCGTTGGGTCGTCTCACGGAGGGGGATGACGTCGCAAACATTTGTCTGTATCTGGCCAGTGATGAGGGGCGTTTTATCAATGGAACAGAGATGGTCATTGATGGTGGGAAGTGTATCTGAGTCGTGAGACCGATCATTATCGACGATGGGTCCGCAAGAATCACATTGTGGTAACGCCCTGTATTTCGACCTAGTTAATGCTGTCAGCAAATCAAACCAGCACGAAAATCTGCTTTTGGTCCTGTACTAGTAGGGTAATTGGGGGTTTGTATCTGTACTTACCACAATTATGTCCAAGAAGAAGGATCGAACAGAGAAATATCTTCCTCTAGCAGGCCCATCATGTGCTGGTTTCCCGAGAACCAGTTCCCCAGTTGGCTGGTCTGAGGCATTGGACCAGAGTATTGGCCTTCCATGGTGCCCCGTGCATCTCCAGGCGCTGACCCAGCAGGAACAGGTGCGGATGCCCACGCGCCATAACTGTCGTCAGCCGACATAGGTGCCAGCCCAAGCGCACTGAGGTATACATCAAACTCCTGACCGACGGAAGCCAGGTCTTGATCCTCCTTGACTTGCACTTGTTCTTTTGCCTCAATGTACAGCCTGGCCACATTGCTGAGAACTTGACATAGCTGATACAGTTTCGAGATGGCCTCAGAAAGAAAACAATTGGGCTGCAGGGAAGCCACAAAGTCTTCAAGTCGAGCGAGATCGTCCCACGATGATACAGCGATGGCGTGGCAGAAAATCACAATAAATGGAACAAATGGTGCGTAGAGAATGGTCCTGGGGGGTAAATTAGAGATATGGTGTGCCAAGCATCTGCAACTTACCAGTGGAAGTACGCGGCTTTGATATGCTCTGTCATCTCTTTCACTTCCGCCATACAGCCCTGATGCACCTCGAGGGCTGATCTGGCCGTTTCTATGCATTCATGGATGAATGTGCCCTGTGTCCCTTGTGGAGGAATAGCGCGGTATATCAACGTTAAGACTGACAAGCGGGCGACCTTGTCTGATCTGAAGAACACTTCATCGACCGGGGATCGTTGTTTGTCGAATTGAATACCCTAGGCTATGTTAGAGTAATACTGGCTATATTACCAACAGTGCATACCTCGAATGGCTCCATAATCTCTTGCTGCACCTCAGAGGCCAGCTGGCGAGCATGAGCAGCTCGCTCACTTTCCGGTCGCGCCAAAGCTGCAGGACTGTATAGTAATTCGTACACTTTCCCCTGTATTGTTGCAAATCGGACCCACAACACGTATATCTTGCCATATGGCTCATCTAATCCGGCCATATCGATGTTTAGTAGAGAAGTGACATCATAATCCTGGATGGTTGACGCGCGTCCCAGACGGAGGGAAACCGCTTTGTCCAAGACATAGACTGTCCAGAATAGTATATTCCCAAGCGAGGGCTTGCTGCCGCTTTCTGAAGGGCTTGATCGATGGTATCCGAGTGTTTGGCATAAGCGGAAGGCCGCTGAAGTTAACGTCATCGCGAACGACGGCTTCGACATCTCGATTGCATAGACGGCCTGGACTTCTGTCAGCAGTCTGGAAATGCTTGTCTGCGACTACAAAGCTTACCCCTAGTGCGAGTGCTTCGATGTTTTCATCGTTCGCAGGCATCAGAAGGTTCAAACTCCCCAGAGCAGTTTCAAGGTTGACCAGACAGAGGTTAAGATATTTATCATACTCCTCTCTAGTCTGTGAATCCTTTGTGATAGCAACCACATCGCTAATCAGGTAGAGAAGAGCGCCATTAACCACAATAAAAGTAGCATCGGAGTAGTCTTCCGTGGAGAAGTAAACCTGGCGGCATTTTTCGACTAGCCGTGGGGTAGACAGGAAAGGCAAGTATGCTTGCAGGATACTCGGTTGCTCTGACAGCACGTTAGGGAAGCTACAACAAGAACAATCTACATCTCAAGAATTACCTTGGCATTTGCGCAGGAGTGCTAGAACAACCTGCGCCGGAGGCATGGTAAGCTCCCGCAATCCTGAGCCTGGAATAACCCTCTGATTCGGGAACCGCACTTGGCGGGAGGGAGATTGTGCCTGGTGGTCTTGCATATTGACGATCTGCTTCAAGGATGCAAGCGCGGTGCTTATTTTGGGGGTCGACATCTGAAGGGCACTGCGAGAGACGGCCGTCTCTAGGAATTCTCTGGCGTAGGCGGAATGGGCAGCAAGAGAGGAATTTCCCTCAAAGGCAGGAGTAGACTCGTGCTGATCCAGCGCAGCAGCAGCACTAGTGTAATTGGTCGTAGTGGATGGACTCAGCTGGCTTGACAGTGGAGTAGAGTGATGGCATTGTTCCGAAGGGCCCTTAGCGTGCGCTCTGAGTTCCAAAAGGGTACGCTCGATGTTTCCCAGGCGCTCTTCGATGAGGTCAATCTTCCTCTCACTACACCATATCAGCCGAACTCAATAAGCAGGCTACTTGCTGTCACGTACTACTGGCTCGAGATAAGCACACGCTTCTTTGGCTCTGGGGGCTTCTGACCAGCGCCAGTTGAGCGGCAGATGATTTGGGAACTGCGGCAATTGGAGCAGGGAGACCGCTTGTCACAGCGTATCTGGTAGTCGTACACAAAAACCCATCAATGTCCGTCCTGAAAGGGGAAACCCACATCAATTATTGATAGACTGCAGTAGTTACATACCTTTCGGAGGCGGCATTGATCGCACTGGCATGCGTCAGCATTGTGGACTGGAGACAGTCCATGAGTAGTATGAGTATGCGATGCAACTCGAACTTACCGCACGCCTGACAACTGGCTCCTTCTCACTCTCGGGTCCCTCGGGCTCCATATAGTCAAGCTTTCCAAGATAACCGGTTCCCAGTAGCGCGGCTTATTACTTTTTCCAGCAGAGCAGAGATTGTGAGTGTTGGGGACGGTGAGGGCGTGTTGGTTGCAGGGAAGTGTGAGACTGGCGGATCCCGCGGAGACCGAGAGTGTGGACCGAACTTTGATTGCTTGCCTAATCGTCACACTCTCAGCGACTCTTTGGCATCACGGAACATCTACAGACTACTCCATCTATTACTTTTCTTTTTGGGTGATAATCTATTTGAGGCACCTAATACGTATTGTGACTACGCATGTTGGACCAATACAGACGTCATGCAGCAGTAGCCCTTGCATATGTACAGCTGATTCTACTTGCGTTCTATGTTCCACCCTCCACTCTAGAGATGATAAATTGCTAGAGATATACTATTCGTCTATGCATTTTGCTCGTGGTCGCATCACAGCTAGGCGTAAAACCCAGCCACGTCTATGGTAGGTCTATTTCTCTTGCATCTAGAGGCCCATGAGTCTATCCTCTCTTTTCGTCTCCTCCGGGCATCTCCTAGTAGGACCCGTATCGGGTCGGCGATTATCGCTCGGACAAGTTCAACAAGCGACCAGAAGACCCGCAGCCTAGACAGCCACGGCTACTTTATAGCCAGGGAGAGTTAGGGGGTTCTGGAAGTGTAGGCAATCAATTGGCCATATTCCAGAACCATACGCGTTCCTCGGCTCACTTCTTGATTCCAATAACAGCCAAGTTTCTCGGACTCTCCTTGTACTCAAACACCGGCTCAACCCAGCACTCCTTCACTGAGTCATGTTCACGCAGGAATTGCCATCTGTCAACGACAATGATGGCCTCAACCAGAGCAGCACTGAAAGCCATCAAGCTCCAGACCACGCTCAGGTTCTTTTTCGCATACCAGTAATCCTTCACGTAGCGATCAAAATCTTCCTCAGTCAAATCCGCCATTCCTGCCTTGATCTTCTCACCGAAGTTCGGGTCGCGACCCAGCTTCGTCACCGCAGCATTGGCATACGCAGCAAAGGAAACAAAAGCCGATTTCCGTAGAGAGCCTACAATCAGAGGGTTTCCGGCATCTTCAGGTTCGGTGGATTCCTCATACAAATTGTCCGGGTTCTTGGGCTTCGCAACTACCTTGCGATCCACAAGCAGGCGCTGGAGCAGACTCCGATAGAAGTGGCGGGTGAAGAAGTCTTCGCTGTCTTTCCGGCTCCAGTTGTACGGGGCCTGCAAGGACATCGAGCGGGCGGTGATGTTGAGCTTCATGCCCGTTCCACTTTCGTGTTCATAAACCTCAAACCGTTTCGACATCGGGAAGCCATGGGGGTCGTATGCAACGGCATCCTTTGTCAGACGGGGGTGCATCGACCGGAGAATGGGAAGCTTGTAGGTAGCAGGACCCAGCCTCTCAGTGACTAGATTGTAGCAACATCCGATCATAGCAATGGCTTTAACGGAGGGATTCAGGGTCAGAGACCGTACTCCGTGATGGAGAAGGTTACCACAAGAATGTAGAGAGATGACCATGACGTTAGCATCCTTTGATTCGCCTTGAGCTTCGGTCTCCCCTTCGACAGGCGCAGCCTCAATGACGTCTTTGATGATGGGCTCGAGGTAACCGTCCCTGATCTCGTGCTCGATGTAATCCATTTTACCTCTAGGCTTCTCTGGATCTACTTCCTCCTCGGTGGCGGTTTTCGGGACATTGCGGTAAGGAGCGAACCCGATCTCGCCAGGTGCGAGACTAATATCACGGAAGACGTTGATCATGGCCATATCCTCTTCACCACCACCTGCCGTATCGCTTAGGCCCTTTGTAGCATCACCCTTCACATTAGCGGATTCTTGACCATCGGTACCCGTCTCTGCAGGCGCATCCGGTTCTGCACAGGTCTTGCAGTTTGCCAGTTTCTTGTTGTACATGTTGACGCGTTTCTTTTCCTGCAGCTTCGCATGAATATCCATTCCCTTCGCGCCACTGATGAACTGATGCTTCCGCTCGATGGCAACAATGTGTCTATTGTAAGGGGGACACGCAAGCGTCCGTCCGAGGTAGCTCTGGCCCGAACCGAAATCGACAATGTGTGTGATAGGATCGCCCCGTTGTTCGTCCACCGTGGTACAGAGGGCATCGACGTATTTCGAAAAGTGCGCGACCTCGTGGTACTTCTTGACGTTCATTCCGACGGCGATCTTCCTCGGGATCGACGGTGTTCCGGGCTGTGAGGGAGTGAAATCCCGCCCCAGGCTCAGTCGACGGATCTGATGGATATACTCCAATAGGTCCAGAGGAGGCAGAGGCGCCCCGCGCCACTGTGCGCTTGACTCGCCACCACGCGCAGCATCCTCCCGACTTTGGTCTAAAAGAGGTCGGATGTCATCCCGCAGAAGTAGGTCCAAAATGTCCTGAATATCATGCTGGTCGAAAAATGTCCTCCAGTGTTCCGGCAGCAGAGAGGTATACAGGTCAGGTTCGCGGGTCAGGAAATCGAGGATGTGTACACCGCCGCAAAGATGCCTGAAGATGGCGGAAGAATTCGCGAAAGACAAGAGGGCCTCGACGTAGGCATCCGGATCCGTCCACTCTTCGGCGAGTGGGAGGGGTTGCGACGGAATCATGCGTCAGGTGTGATTGCAGCGAAAACGGGCTAGACTGGGATGGATATGCAGGATGACATCCGAACCGGATTCAGGGATCCTGAAGATGTCTGACGGGAGAGTCCAATGGGCGGAAAGGACAATGCGGGGGGTTGGTGTTGAAGCGACCGTCACAGAACAAACAAGGAAAGGGGAATGAAGAAGAGAAAGAGTGGTGGTGGGGTGATTTGCTATCGATATACACGACCCCGAAATTTTTCGAGGGGCGATCGATAGAGACAGGCGGATTTGGTTTAGCCGTGGTTGGACCCACTGATTCAAGCATCGTTACTGTGTGGTTCTGTGGTTGGTTAAGGTGACGGAGTCTCCGGGTCGGGAGATGCGGAGATGGAAGATGGGGGGAGAACGAGCGGATATGGACCCAAACTCGACTCATCAATCATCACAACTCTTCTTCCCCCTATCTATTGGTCCCTAAGTCTGACAGCGACATCTCCTTAGCGTGTCATACTTCAATTGACTCCCTTCTTTCTCGCCCCCTCCTCCCGGTTGAACCCCTGGCGACCACCCAAAAAGGGCACTATTAAACTATATGGGCTAGTCCGTCCTGGAAAGCCGCTGATCGCATGCTTCACCACCCATCGTCCCCTCCATGTGTCTCCTGCGACACTCAGCGAAAGCACTAGTTCGTCTCTGTTCATGGTGCTACGTGTGACTTTGAACCGCTTTGAGAAACCAGAAATTGTGTCCAGGCAAACAAACAGCAAAGTCGGGCTGGTGTTGGCAACCCATCTTCCCTGTCCCTATCTCTATTTCTATCTCTCCCTCCTGGTCTCCTCCAATCCCCTCCATCCCGTAGTCCCTAAATAGCCTGATACCCTGAAACGTGGTCAAGACTTGTCATCATCGTTGAAGCCCAGTCCACCCCAGAAATGGTACCACGTATTATATAAGGGAGGTGACCAGTCAGCTTACTGTCATTCGGTTGCTGCATTCTGCATCCTGCGTACTCAGCCCTCCGGTATGCACCACTGCAGCCAAGCGCCCAACTGATAATCTGCCAACGCGTCACACCGTCTACGCTTGATATCAGCCAAACGGCAATATTTCCCCTTACTGCCAAGAAAAAGAAACAGCGAATCCCTCGGACCCGGTTATTAAAGAAGGCGATGTCACGCCTGGCCGTCTAGATCCTGTACCACTCAAAAGGGTACATTTGAAGTGCCGCTCCAACGGTAAGTCGGGATGATCTTCCGGAACAAGACGATACACAGCCAAGCTCCTCCTCCGCAAATGCGCAAAAGACGTCCTATACTGATCCGCCTCCTCAAGCAGATGTTGACCTCATCTCCGAGGCGGGAAGCCCTTCCCTTCGGCTTCGTCGCCGATGTGCTCTTCCAGATCATCATCAATGGCGAGGTGAACACCATCTTGACGCTTTGCCGGTTGAACCGCGCTACATACGAGACCATCAAGGTGTTGGAGCCACACATCTGTGGCTGGTTCATGCGCTTCCATGCGATTGAATTTGACCCCATTCTTACCCTTAACCCGTGGACGGGAGAGCAGAGCACACTGACAGTGCACTCCCTCGTAAGGTTCTTCCAGCGCCACAATATCGCAAAGGATTTATCGCGACATATTGTACCATCAGTCTGGGGACCTTTCTGCGATGACGGGAATCCAGAGATGGACTTTGAAGCGGAGTTACGCCTTGCCAAGCGGTTGGAAAGAGGGTTACACGTTCTCTTTCACATGGCCGACATTGCGCGCGACACCGAAAGGCTGAAGCCCAGCAGGAAGCCACTGGCTCCTGTTGTCAGTGGACGTCTCTTCGTGCTCGGCAAGATGTTAGACGAGTACGATGAACTGCCCCAGCACAGGAAACAGTTGATGTCATTTGAAGAGTACACCAACCACGTTTATACGGTTCTAAAGTGGGGATATGTGGAGGCCGATATTGGCCGCAGGCGGCTAGAATTCCGAGGATGGCTTGATGAGCAGACTGAGATCGACTTTCACGCGTCTCTGCGAATGCTGCGCGAGCTGATGGAGCGCATGCTTCTCCGCCACGGCCCCAAGGACTGGCACCGCGACGCCAAGAACGAATATAGCGTCATATCCTGGTTTCTCCTGAAACAACCGCCGCGCTCACTGGCGAAGCTGTTCTTGAGTCCTCAGAACGACTGCTGCGATATTGATGTGAAAGCTACTGATTGCGGTGTTAGGAAATGCCATTTCTCAGACCCGCTAGACAATTACTGGAAAGCCTGGAAAAATGTGCCCGACCTAGGCTGCCAGGACTGTGACTGCAAGCGACGAGTCAGAAGTTGGAGCGTCAAGCCTGCACTTATTGATGCCCGAGGAAGAGAGTTTAATCGTGCTGCAGAGCGATACCTGAGGGAGATGTGGAGTCAGCGACACGTCGGTCTCCATCGGGCTTTTACCATGGGCGTTTTTACCACAGTTATTGGATGAGCTGGGATCATTCTGTCATATTATTTTTTCTTATCTGGACGAACTTGGAACCGAACAAGAATGTCATTATATTATCCGCATCTACGCAGTAAGACAAGAGTTCCATCCATCTTGACCTTTCTAGATAAAACAAAGATAGATCGATATGGCCCGACGCCGCCTTCTTCACCGCCCGCAACCCCGGGCATCCGTAGTAATCGGCTCCGGATCCTCTCAACCCAACCCAATCAACATCACTATCGCCGTCCTTCCCCAGTCCTCAAGCATCTCTGGAAGCGTTTCTTTACCCATTGTAACTATCTCATGATCTTCCTTTAGCATATACCCAACTACTCAACTATCATGGACCACACAGACCCCTTCCTCCAAGTCCAAGCGTAAGTTTCTCTCCCCCTTATTCATCCACTCTACAACCCATCAAGCCAGCTAGCTGACGTAGCACCAATCCAATGCCAACAGCGACGTCCTCTCAACCCTCCAATCCACACGTCCTCTATTCTCCTCCTATCTCCGCATCCGCTCCCTCGCCAAGTCTCCCAATAACCCGGAGCTCCAACAAGCGCGCTCCGAGCTTGAGACGACCCTCACCGATCTTACCGCGGACTTAGACGATCTAGTCGAGAGTGTGCGTGCAATCGAGCAAGATCCATATCGATTCGGCCTAGAACTAGAAGAAGTTCAGCGCCGGCGAAGTCTTGTTAACGATGTCGGTGCCGAGATCGAGAAGATGAGGGAGGAGTTGCAGAGGACGGTTACAGCTTCGAGTGGTGGTGGGAAGGGCACGGGTGCGCTGCCAAACCCGGCTGATTTCGATAATGTCTTATCGCCGTCGGCGGAGGATCAGGGAGATGATTACTATGCTGCGATGGAGCAGCAGCGGCAGATGGAGCTGATGCACGAGCAAGATGAGCAGTTGGATGGGGTGTTTCGGACTGTGGGGAACCTGCGACAGCAGGCTGATGATATGGGGAGGGAGTTGGAGGAACAGGGGGTGATGATAGATGAGGTGGATACGTTGGCCGACCGAGTGGGCGGCAAGCTGCAGAATGGCATGTCGAGGCTAAAATACATTATACGGAAAAATGAGGGTAAGTGCTTCCGCTGCGACTTCTTTACATTGTCCTTTTTCGGAAGAAAAACGTTGGCTGATTATCAATTAGATACAATGTCATCCTTTTGCATTGCCGTCCTCATATTCGTTTTGGTCCTCCTCCTCATCCTGCTCATTGTTCTTTAAGACATGAAGACATATGGTTACAACTGCATTATTCAAGACTAGACACGGTGATATCTTTAGACCTTGGTCTTCTTGCGGGGACGGTCGTTCTCGTCCTCTTCCTCGTCTCCCGAGATATCAAGCTCACTGTCGTCAAAGTCGACCTCCTCGATCGCCTGATCCGTGACTGGAAGGAAGGTTAGCTCGGACTTCATCCAATATACGAAAACCACTCACCATAGTACTTCAAGGCGTTGGGCCAGAGGTCCTCAGCGATCGCAATAGCGAGCTCCTCACCACCAGGGAAGACCTCAATGTCATCGAACTCATCCTCAATGTCGTCATCCTCGTCATCCTCGTCCTCCTCATCCTCACCCTCAACAGGCTCGCCCTTGAGGAGCTTCTCAAACCTCTCGTTATCCTCCTTGGTCGCGGCCTGGGACTGCTCAGCAGTGACATCGCTGCCACGGTAGCCGAAGAAAGCGAAGAAGCTCATGCCGCCAGGGCCATCCTCAGGGAGCTCATCCTCATCATCACCCATCTCCTGGTCCTCAGCAGCCTCAATCTCATCCTTCTTCTCAATGACCTTGGCGAACTCAGGCAGCTTCTTACGGTCTCCGCCCTTCTTCTCCGCCTCAGCAAGGTCGCAAGCAGCGTCCAGCAGACCCTTGGTAGGATCCTGGTCCTTCTTCCAGTTGATGCGGACGGGCTCGGAGACCAGACCATCCCAGGTGCGCTTGTGACCCTTGGGGGTAGTGATGACCTGCTTGCGCCAGTAGAAGGTCTTGACAAGCTTCTCGTTCTCAAAGTAAGGGTTCTCGTCGCCGGTGCGGAACTCGAAGGTCAAGCGGAAGCTGCGGGGCTCGCCCTGACCCTTCTCATCGATCTCGAATCGCTCAACGGTCAGGTTCTTAAGAGTCGAAGCGAGGATCGTGGCATCGGTCATGGTGATGTATTCCTCCACCTCGGCGGGCGCATTGAGCATGACGCGAGTCCAGAAAGTGTCGCGCACATCAGGCTCGGCGATAACCTGGTTGCGCTTTTCGAAAAGGGGACGAAGCAGGAGAGTAGACTGGCGCACTATTATACCCTTTAGTTTAGACACAAACAAACCATAACAATCTCAATCCCAATCCCAATCCCCCATCCCCAAATAAATCAACAAAAACAAAGACAGAGAGAGAGAGATAGAAAGAAAGAAAGAACATACACTGCTCCACCTCCGCCCTAGCAAACTGCTCCTCCACCAAAGAAATCTTCTTCGCCGTCTCCTTGCTCACCTCGGGGCGCTGAATGCGCTCCAACAGCGACGTGTTAGCTTCCTCGGCAGACATGATGATGATGCTGTTTCCGGAATTTCCAATTGAATAAATAATGAAAAAAAGAAAGGGGGTATAAGGGTATATGATTTGAAAGTAGATTGAATATTATCCCAAAAGTAAATCGGGGACAGTGGGTATATATATATATAGAATTGGTAAGAAGGGAAAGAACGAAGAAAAAAAAAATTTCTGATCGTTTCAAAAAAGTTTACTGGTTGGTTACTGCGCGTAGTACTACTATGGTCAGTCAGCGCGCGCGGGCGCGGGCGCGGGCGACGGGCGGAAGTTGCCTACGTAGTAAGTAGTAAGTAATGTTACTAACCTACGGAGAGGAGTTTAATGAGCTAGTTAGCCTTTCCTCCGTGGTTTAGCTGGTTAAGGGGAAGGGGTCACTGTGCTGTGCTGTGCTGTGCTTAGTAAGTGGTAATGATGATGGCTGGCTAGGCTGGTTTGGGTAGGTTGCACGGGAAGGTTAGTAGCTGTTAATTTAACTAGATGGGGTTAGTCACTTTGGAGCATTTAGTGGGTTAGTAAGCGGTGGTGGGTGATGATGGGTTCAAAATAATTAATCAAGTGGTTGCAAGAACAGGATTATTGGTAGTAAATCGGAAAGAAGGATGGGATGTTCCGGTGATGTAGTGGAGTGTAGTGTATTGTAGGCAGCATGTCAATTGACTCGAGTAATAGATAAGTAGGTAGGTAGGTAGGACGGAGGACTCCGAACGGCTGCCCGTGATTTACCACTTATGAAGCAGCGCAGCAGTACTGCTCCCCGCCAACGATAACGATAACTCGAGGAGAGGCAGAGAGACTCAACAGTTAACCATCAGATCAACAGTAGCAGACATTGTGAAACATCATACTACTAGGGTATGCATGATGGTCATGACGATGCTCACACTGCTCGACTTACTCTCCAACCAGTGGCAAGTTGATTTGCGATAGCTGCAGCAAACACCTACATTTATCTTTTACACCATACATTGATTGATCTACCCACTGTTATAAGTCAGCCATACTTACCTCCACCGGAAGAGAATGTTCCAGCCCACCTCCAGGAAGATATGACTTGCACTAACCCACGCCACGACAGGGATCCAGCCCAGCTCCGCTTCGGGCGGATTGTCCCAGCAACTTAGCCAGAGGCGCTCATTGCTTTTTCCGGGAGATCTGCTTATCGGTGGCGAAAAAGAAAAAGGCTGGGGGGGCGGATTAGCTTCGTTCGGGGTTATTAGTTTAGTAGTTTAATCCATGACGGGTCTGGAGTAAGTGGGGGAGATAATGCTGGTTGGTGCATCTTATACTCCGTGGAGATTTCGAAATCGTAGTCAAGTTTGTAGTCGACAATGTGACCAGGTAGATAAGGGATTTCATGTTCTGCTGACAACTGGCAAGTTCAATTGCATCAGTCAAACGTAAGGGGTTAGTTAGTGACCGCAATGAAAACGACAAGTAGCATGTCTGGCGGACTGAGAATGATCTTAGTCCATTCCAATATTAGCTTTGCTATCTACCCAAGTCACCATGGGTCTTGAGTATCAATCCAGCCAGTCAACCATTCAATCAATCAAATCCCTTTATTAGGGTACTCAAACAAACAAACAAACAGCCGCCGGTGCGATCATCACACCCGAGGGGAATAATCGGCAAACACACGAATGCATATCACTTGAAATGCATAGTGAAGAATGGAAAAGAAGAAGAAGAAAGAATGAAAGAAAGAAACAAAGAGAAACAGAAGCGTGGTAACAAATAGTCAAAATAAACTTTTGGCGGATTGGCCTCCAATCCGACATGTCCATCATCATGCCTGCAAAATTCGTAACGTGCGTTTCAACCAGCAACCCATTAATATAGAAACTTTTTCCGCGGTGAGATGAGATGAGATGGAAATGGGCCCCCATCATGACGACCACTCCTGCGTCTTCGTCTTTCCCATTATGGTATAATTTTTCCGTCTCCCAAAGATAAGACCCAGGCCAGTTCGCCAGTAATGCATGAAATGAAAAGAAAAACTCAGAATAGAAAGGAAACGGAAGGAAAGCCAGCATTGAACGCAGCGGTAGGAGTGAGGGGACAGGACAACCGGCCGGTTTCGGCTCGCGCTCAGACAGTTGATGTAACCTCTTTATCGAGCCAATCGCGCCCATCGCTAAGACGACCTTGCGGCTGCCCTCTCCCCATCACTCACCGACCGTAGTGCAACGCAGCACGTCAGATCGCGCCATCACAACATCCAATCCAGCCCGTTCGCTTCCTCTTCCACGGGAAAGACTTCGCGCGCATATTCCTCCATGTCTCGCCAGCCCTGCCATAGGTGTCGGGCCTCATCCGTAACACGCAGTGATATAACCCCTCCGGGACCCTGCATCATTCCCGCACCCGCACCTTTGCCATTGGCTGGGCCCAAGCCCTTCGGCGACCCGGCCGCAGGGCGGGAGAATTCGGGCTGCGGGAAGTAGGGTGCATCGCATTGTCCAAACACCACCTCAATTGCTTCCAGTTGTTCCCGATATCCGGGAGGGATGTTGACCTTGACTTCGACCTTGGGCACGCGGACGTAGCGGCATGGGCGACCGAGAGCGCGCGAAAATGCCGCACAGACCTGATTGGGGGAGAGCGTCTCGAAGGTGAGGGCGATCCTGCGAAACATCAGCTATCAGCTCCATGTCATCACCCGATAAATGACCGAGGTAAACCTACCGATGGCCGTTCCACTTCTTGGGTCCGTCCTTGAAAATCTGCAGCAGCGCCGGTCCCACGTCATGCTCAGCATCCAGCCAGGGGAGTGGAATATCGGGGTCGAAAGGCGCGTGCCACTCAAAGCTTCCGTCCTGCATCAGCTCCATCTGGAAGAGGGGGTATGGTAGACTCGTAAAGTTGTTGTTGTAGATTCCGGCGTAGACGAACGTCGAGGGCAGACCGAGTTGACGAACGTAATTCTCCACGGTGAACTTGGGAGCCCAAAGGGGCACCGGAGGCCATGGTCCATGCACAGAGTGGTCGGGCATACTGCTATAGATGTAGTGTTGAATGGTTCCTGCTCGCTTGGCGGCATCGGCCAAGGCGCGTCCGATCGCGACTTCATCGCCAGACTGGGAGGTGGTGTTGATGAAAGCAAGATTGGCCCCTTGGAACAGGGAGTCCATCAGCTCTGTGTTGCCCAGGAGGGGACCCTGGAAGAGAGTGACATTGGGTAGGCTTTGTAGTTCCTCCGCGATGAGGCCCTTGAGTGAATGGATCTGAGCGCGAACATGGTGGCCCACTGCCGAAGCGACACGGATCAGAGACGCCGCCTGGCGACCCGTAGCGTTCACCACGGCAATGGTCTTTCTTTGTTGTGTCATGAGTTATAGCGGGAGAGGATTGGTGGGAATGCGGGTATAAGAGATAATTCTCCGCGATAGGAGGAGAATATAGAGAGGAGGGGGGACTTTTAAAAAGTAAAAGAAGAAGAAGAAGAAAAAAGTATGCGGGGTAAAATTAAAGCAGGGAGGGAAAAGTGACCAGCGGACGAACACGAAGGAAGTAAGTCGGGCAGTCGAGCAGATCTGGAGTCGGGTCAGGTGGCCTCCCAGAATAGGAAAACAAGTCAATGCGAGGCCGATTTATTGCCAGCTAGTGATGTTGTGGAGGTTGGTGAGGCAGCAGGTGTGGTCGTGTGTCGCAGTTGTCGAGAGAATTTCCTGAGTCGTAGTACAGATTTCCAGGTGTTGTCTGGGTGGTACTTCGACGAATGGAACAGTGGGGTAGTAGACGGAGCAGTTGGCGGAGAGTTTAGTTATATAGCTCAGTGGGATATGATTGCCTGGGGACAGTTGATTTGACAATGCCGCAATCGAAGAATTCAATGGTGCAAGATGATGACGGGTCAGGCAGCTGCTGTTGTTGCTGTTGCTATTGCTGTTGCTGCTGCTGTGGTTCAAAAAGAAAGCCCCGGGAAACTACTGGAGTACGAAAAAAAGGAATCCCACCACAGAAAAAAAGGTCGATGATGTTGGAGACAGCGGCGGATGATGAGATATTAGGTGCTCCAACTCCAGACCGACACAGCCGGGCTGCTCGCCAAAAGCCAGGTTTTTGTTAGTTAATGCAAAGCAGCGCCTCCTCCGTTGCAGGCACGGATCTCCCTCGTCGAGAGGATAATATGAATAATAAGAATCACCGAATGCTCCAACGAGGCCGAACAAGTGGACACCCCCCCAGAGCCGGTCTGGCGCACCAGGCAAGGAAAATGACCTCACACAACTGAGATTTTTCAAGCGATTTGCACCCCCAAATAAAAAGAAAATAATAAAAATAAAAATAAAACAGCAAGAGAAAAAGATAATCGTAATAATCGGTTTAATTGATTCAGATGCAGTATAATTGAGAAATCGCGAAAATGGCGGGAAAAAAAATAATAAAAATTCAACAAGAGCCGTGGATCAGGTCTAGTGCTTGGTTCCGAGATTCGCACCCACAATGACCCTAATCAGCCCTGTTGGTCAGGGGAGACTGCACAAGCTTTATCAGATTGGATTGGAGGAGGGAATGACGATGGAATACAATTGACGAAGGTTTCTAAAGGAAGACGCTGTGACTACGTAGGAGGGAGGTCTTATAAAAGGGACAACCTGGTCTATGAACCGAAATAGAAACCTTTTCCCCCTTTCCAGGACATGTCGGTGTGCTCGCCGCCCACGTATCTAGGGGCCCCTAGAAGCGACGTCGTAGAGGAGAAAGAAAAGGAAGTAACTGCGGTCTGTGTGCTGCGGCAACGGGGACCCGATGAGCCCACGACGACTATCGGCTGGTCTGGATTGGGATCGTCTGGGGTTTGCATCTAATATGGGAGGTGGTACCCATTAGTGAATTTCTTAACTCCTCCCACAAATCCCTGTTCGCTGGGAAAATCCTGGCCAGGCAAAGAAAAAGCAGCCCCGGTCCCATGATGTGATGGGGAGTGTTCCGATGTGCTGTCCGAGGGGTTTATATCGAGTAATGCGAAACAGTCATAGAATGGAAGGCCATTTGATTGAACGGTGTCAGGCGGGATTGCAAACTTCGGATGGCTGACACCATTCCAAGGTACTCGGCTCTCTGTTCCTGAGGGTACTCGTCTCTAGGTTTCTCTCCCATCTTCCATTGCGTTGGTAGGTCTCGCTCCATTGAGTTCGAAAGCCGGGGGTGACAGGCCAGCTCGGCAGATGAGGCAACTAGAGCAGCAGCCCTGACATGAAGACGGGACCTTGTTGGATGTTGCTAGAAGTGCCCACGATGTCCACGATGATGAGGTTGACCATTGACATTCTTTCCTTTACGTAACTCGGATGCAGTTCAGGGGTGGCTGGACAGGGAGCTGAAAGAACTAGCAATATCCACCACTACCACCATCATCATCATTATCATGGATAGAAGAAGTATGGCATCATGAGGATGTCGTAGTATGATTCAGTCTGAGAATAGTGCCTATTGTAGGGCGCAATCTCAACCCGTGGGATATCCTCTATATCCGAAGGTAGTATAGGGATGCGATGCACCTTCCAACATTAACGGTTCCAGCTAAACTAGAGATTCTTCATTATTGCTGAATTTGGGTAGCAAAAAAAACCAAAAAAGCAAAGTGCATATTCTATCAAAGAATGTCCGATCCCGGCAAGTGCCAGCCAATGGCAGCCAATAAACAGTGTGGGCGGGGGAGTACTAGCGGGCCTCCCACTGATCGACTTTTGGGGACAGCCACCGATTCTGAGGCAGTCATCTATCTAGTCAAGACGTTATAGTTACTTCTGTCTTCTCTATCCATAGAACTACCTGCGGTGTTTGTTCTTTGATTCTTTGAATGTATCTATCTGTATCTCACTCTTTTCACTTCTCTCTTCCTCCTCTTCTTCCGCCCCTCCTTGAACCAGTCCTACGTTATGGAGAATAGCAAGTGATTAACCCACCACATTGACTAACTAGCGAAGAAACCGCCGTCACAGCCGACTGACAAAGCCCGGCTAACGTAAGCGGCAAGCGAGTCGGCCACGTAAGCGAGTCGGCCACCCCATCGAAACTCGTCCACGCCTCCGAAAGCGATGCTATCCAAACAGCCATTACACCACCAAAAATGCCTAAATCATCAAAAGAGTTGGTGGAACAAGAGGGCAGGCTCTGTTTAGCAGTTGAATCTATTCAGAAAGGTCATACAAAATCTATTCGTGAAGCTGCACGCGTTTTTCAAGTTCCCCGATCAACACTTCAAGATCGCCTAAATGGGCTCAAATTTCGCAAGGATACTAGAGCCAACTCACATAAATTGACCTCTATAGAGGAAGAATCACTTGAAAAATGGATTATATCGCTAGATCAACGTGGTGCACCACCAAAGCACTCTCAAGTCCGTGAAATGGCGAATCTACTACTTCAAAAGCGTGGTCAAAATACAACTATCTCTGTCGGACAAAAATGGGTTACCAACTACATCTCAAGGCATGATTCCTTGAAAAGTCGATATAGCCGTCAAATCAACTACAAACGAGCGAAGTGTGAAGAACCTGAAACTATTCAGATGTGGTTTAAACGCGTACAAACTGCTATATCAACATACGGCATTGTCGACAAAGATATCTATAACTTCGATGAAACTGGCTTTGCTATGGGTATCCTGGGTACTACTAAAGTAGTAACACGCTCAACATGTCAAGGAAGACCCTTTCTTATACAGCCAGGGAATCGCGAATGGATAACTTCAATTGAGTGTATCAACGCTGCTGGATGGGTGCTACCAGCATATTTAGTGTTAAAAGCAAAAACACATATTCAAGCTTGGTACGAAGGAAGTCTACCATCTTCCTGGAGGATTGCTATATCCTCAAATAGATGGACTACACGAGAGATTGGGGAAGCATGGCTCAAAGATCACTTCATTCTATACATTAAAACACGAAGAACAGGTCAATATAGCCTCCTCATACTTAACGGGCATGATTCGCATCTAACACCTCAATTTGATGACATATATTATCAAAATCAGATTATACCTGTCTGTATGCCTGCTAATTCCTCACATCTATGTCAGCCTCTAGATGTTGCATGCTTTTCGCCTTTGAAGAAGGCCTACAAAGATCAAGTTCAACAGCTTATCCGTACGGGATATCATCATATCGAGAAGGTTGATTTTCTTGACATGTATCCGAAAGCCCATGCTCAAGCGTTTACTAAAGCAAATATACAAAGCGCTTTTAGAGCTTCAGGTCTTGTTCCTCTAGATCCCAGCAAGATACTAAAGAATATGATTTTCAAGGAGACCAGCCGTCTGAGCAGTCAAAGCACCTCCTCTTCTTCGATCTTTACAAAAACACCAAGGAATTCGAGGCAATTCAAGAAGTACGAGTCTACACTATCTCAATTACTTCAACAACAAGATACTCCAGCTACACCAATACAGTCAGCCTTATCGTACATCTTCAAAGGCGCGGAGGTTGCTTTGAATCATACAATACTACTTGAGCATGAAAATCGCCAACTATGTGAAGCTCTTGACAAACGAAACACCAAGCAGAAACGCAATCAACATCAAATGGATGGTTTGAATGGCCTCACTGTACAAGAAGCGCTTGAGGCTTTCAACCATGCTAGAATATTGGAAGAACAGGCTGGGGATGCAGGCCCTAGGGAGGATCAACCACGCCGTCGGGCGCCTCCTAGGTGTAGCGCGTGCCATATTGTAGGGCATATACGTACTAGATGTCCTAATCGAGCAGTATCTTGAGATAGAGCGCTTTTAAGCGTTGAATTAGGTGTTCAAAAAGCATCATTTTGTATGTAAATCAGAATGATGATATACTACTAGCGGAGGTGGCCGACTCGCTTACGTGGCCGACTCGCTTGCCGCTTACGTTAGCCCACGTTGCTCTCCAGACCCATCGGTCCAAATCCTTCTTACCGGCCAATCCGTGCGCCGCAGCTTCTCACGCGTCTGCCAAGACCCGGGAGCGGTGTTTCTTCTGGGGCTCCTTTTGCGACGAAAGTGGTTCTCTACGGCCGGTGGATGATGTTTAGTCCTGAGTAATAGTACCACTTGAGCTCTTTTTTTTCCTCTCAGGTTTGTTTTCCCACAAGGTCAGTAAGGGGAAGGAAGACCTTTCATACCAACCAAGCAGACGGTACGACAACCCTGCGACAACACATCCGGACCATGTCTGCAAGGGAGCAACCTTCATCTGATCAATACCTTATCTACCCTGGAACTACTACTAATTAGGAGAGAGCAGCAACCGCGTGGTGAGAGCACGGTCTTTCCATCTAAGAAATATCGAGTTAGCGGGATATATTGTTATATAAGATTAGGAGCAACTCATCGTCATCATCGTCAAGCCACCACCGCCTTTGATCATGTGCTGACCCGGTCAGCTGCTCCGTCATAGTTTTTTTTCTAGCGGAGTACTAGCACTACTAGTACTGTATACTGCTGTTGCTGCTGTTAAAACGCCAGTAAATGCAGATGTTTTATCCCAATCAGGAAGGTCCTCGGAGCAACTCACTAACCTCATACACACTAGACTAGTAGTAGTATACTAGTAGACTAGTAATATACGCATCTCAGCTGGGAAAACATCTCAGCAATGGCGCAATTCAAAGCGGGGTTCGCCGTCGTCCATCGGATTCCCCTCCATCCATCCGACATGCATGACCCCGGCCTGCATGCCCAGGGATCCTGCATGTTGGTCAGGTATCTCCGCGGAAAGGAATTCCCTTCTCGCTGTCTACATAGTAGCAGTAGAAGTCTAATACTAGTGAGATCGCCTTGTGGAAGTTGTATTGGTGGTCATCATAAGGTGGCATACCCCTCATTCCGTCATGTATACTGTGAGATACCCTAGTGGTGTGAGCCACACATAGTATGAAAGCTCTAGAACAACAACGCTTTTCCGTCTAAAACAGGCAATCGAGAAAAAAAGAAAGGAAAAAAAAAATACGACCACAAACCATCAAAGCTCCTTTCTCTAGAACAAACCGATCGCCATCGTCAAGGTGCCGATCCCGCCATCACTCGCTGCGCCATACGTCCTATAGACACACTCGAGTCCTCCAGTTCCTCCATCTCGCGCTCACTCACCTCGCGCGGCCCAATCCCCGCCAACCCCCAGACGCCAGGTCGGCGCCGGGCCAACAACTGCGCCGCCGTGCGTTCGTCAGAGTGCAGATGCGCTCCAGACTTGCGTAGCAGCAGCACGTGCTCCGAGAATCCTGCGTTGGCCGCCAGGAACAGCGGCGTCCGACCATTGCGGTTTCGCAAGTGCACGGAGCCACCCTGGAGCAACAGGTATCGGAGAATCTCAATTGAGGGAGATGTCGCTGCGAGGTGCTGTGAGGTGACGTGGGTGTCAGTTTGCTTTTTTTCTTTTTTCTCAAATACAGCTCAAGGGGTTGCCTTACGATAGGTGTGTTGCCCGAATAATCGGCGTCATTCAATAACCATTGGTGTTCTCGGGCCACAATCTCCTCCACGCGCTCGAGATCACCCTGCGCGATGGCGTACCCGAGCACCGTGAGGGACTGAACGCGCTCTGGGAGCGCCCCGTCCGGGTGGCGGAAGACTGGCTGCGATACCTCGGTCAATTCGCCGCGAAGAGATACTGACATTTTCTTGGCTACCCATTCTGGGGTGGAATCGGGAAGAGCGAGAAGATACGACATCTTGGTCAGTGCAGCTTCGGTGGTCAGGTCGAGTCCTGCGACGACTCCGGCGCGAGAGAGACTCATGCCTGGGGCATAGACTGGGCTGACACTTCCCGTCAGACCTGGTTGGTTGGTTGCGTCAGATTGAATTCTGGTTTGAGGGATTCTTGGCAAGGGTTTCATTACTCACATTGCGTGACATTCACGATCACGATTCCTCTCTTGATAGCGGCGGCCAACACATTGGTCATGGCATTGTCTTGACCACTCGGTGCGTTACCGGCGCCAAACGTCTCCAACACTAAACCACGAAGTCCTTCCAGCTTCAGCACGGCGTCGACCATCTCCGGCTTGATACCAGGGAAGATACGAAGACACGCCACGTGGGTGGTGTCGAGGTTGGTCTGGATACGGAAATGTTCGAGGCTCTTCGGTCGGTTGACCAGCTCCCAGTTCACGTTGGTCCGCATGGAGGTTGTCACCGCCAGCGGGGGGCAATTCGGAGAGTCGAAGGCAGCGAAATCACTGGCCGCGACCTTGATCGACCGGTTGCCACGGAACAGTCGGTTGTTGAAGTACAGGCACACTTCGGGAATCATGAAATGGCTAGCCACGACCAGTGATCCGAGAAGGTTATCGGTGGCATCATTCTGCAATTCCAGCATGGGCGCCTGTGCTCCAGTGAGAATCACGGGCTTTCCGAGATTCTGCAGCATGAAGCTAAGCGCTGAGCATGTGTATGCGAGACTGTCTGTTCCGTGGAGGACGACGAAGCCATCGAAAAGTGTGTAGTTTCGTTCAACGGTGTGGGCGATCTGGGCCCAACCTTTCGCATCGATAGAACTGCTATCGAGGAGCTCTTCGAACTCGAAGACAGTGTACCGCACCCGTCGCCCATAGGCTGTCTGTGGTGTGCGGAGAGCGGGATGTCCTTTGATCTCTCCGTCTGAGTTGATCACAACATCCATCATGCTCGGGTGCGAACCATCGTTGAATGTCGGCACCCGGGCCAGACATTGCTCCTGGAAACCTCTGGCAGGAATGAAGCCTGACGGGGACTGTCGCATACAGATTGTACCACCAGTCATGATAATGAGGACCCGGGACTCGGGGATGAGATCGTCCGGCTGCTGCTCAGACAGCTCGGGCAAGGGACCATTGACATCGAGAGCTGCCATGATGGAGGGCTGTGACGATGATCTCTAATTCTATGGCGTAGACAAGGCGCAAGAGAAAACAAAAGAAAGCAACGATGAAGTTGGCTGTGAAAGCAAAGAATGCGGGGCCTCAGATTTCAGGCCGCTCCAGATGCGAAACAGCCACAAACAAGGCTGGAAAGTATCTATCCAAGAAACTGCTTCCACAAAAATCTTTTTTTGGGGTCGTGGAGCTCGCAACTCTGGGAATAAGCTCTCCTTTCTGCGGTAGAAATAAACTGAGTAGGTCTTCAACTCCAGGGCAGAACGGGGTCGAGAGTTGGGCACACAAAGATAAGGTTAGCCGTTACCTAGCAAAAGGACTATGGACCAGCTTCAAGAACCAGGAGAAAACAGTGGACGTCCCATGATCCTCGCCCCTCATATGAACAACATTAAGAACTAGACTAGACCTGTAAAAATAGGCTACTTGATTGAGAGTTGGAGACACCACCCACATTGTCTCCGATTCACGGCCGCCGCATTACGTACAGAGCCTACATTGGTGGTGCCAAGAAGCCGCCCCAGCGCAGGATTTTCTTCGCCGGCCGCCCTCTCTTTTCGGGTGCGGTGGATTCCTCCGTCAACTTTAACCACCACCGCCTCCACTTGATGTTGGAGTAACTGCCTGGAACTTATGTCTGGGAAATGCTGTTGATCAGCCTGTCTGGGGTAAACGGGAGAAAGATGTGATTTATGGCGAGCACTGTATGTAGTGAGTATCATTGCGGTCGCAGAGAAGAATTACCCGTAGGCAAGTAGCATCACTTTTATGTGCTGCTCTTGCTGAGAAGGTTCTTATTTACCATAGGTTTGGAGCATAAGCTTGACCTTAACAAAAGGTCTCTATATGATACAGCTCCAAGTAACAACGCCATCATGTTCCGTGTCCTCCAGGCACGATCACTAGCCTACAGAAGGCATCATCACATAAGTCGAGATAGAACAGTAGCACCCTTTATCGTATACCTCCAGCTAAACAGCGTCAAAGACACTGCGCAGACTCACTTCCATACATCGTCCACACTCAACCAGGACAACACCACCACAATCAATCAACAAAGCCACTTACCATCCAGAGGACAGCGTATGTCGCATTAAGAATTGTAACCGCAGATTCCACAGAAAGAAGCCTCTGGTCGAAAATCCTACAACATTCTCCAATAGAGAATACTAGCCACCCGGGCCGTAATTTCATTTCCTCGCTTCTTGATAAGTCTTCCTTCAATGGCCCAAACGGGCATCCCATGTGCCTAGTCAGCGAGGTTGCTGGCTGCAGTGTTGCTGAATATAAGGAGAATGGTCCCAGTATCAAATTCCCTTGGCATATAGCAAAAGCAACTGTCGCTCGGGTTACCATGGGATTGGATTAGATGCATTCGCAGGGAGTAGGACATGGAGGTAAGTACATCAATACCTAGAACACATCATGTCTTACTGACTAACAGACCTCAATATCTCCACACTCGCAATATCCTCCTCCAGCCCATCGACTTCAATACCCTAAGTATAAGCGACATCTACAACCGCTTCGGCGAACCCTTCCAAGTCCCCATCTCACGAACTGACAACAACCCCATCCAACCACCACATGCGCCTACCCACGCCATCATCCCCATGAACCCGATCATCCCAGACAGCCAGCTCACAAACTGCACTATCAGAATAACAGACTTCGGCTCGTCTTCCTTCTTTGGCCAAGAATAACGGCGGTATTACACACCCCAACCATCCTCCTCCGCCTCCCCGAAGCCAACTTCCAGGACCCCATCATCACCCCCAGCCGCCGATATATGGACCCTTGGGTGTACGCTCTACGATATCCTCGGCGAACGACTCCTCTTCGAAACCTGGTCAGATAGTCCAGATGATATTGTTTGGGAGATGGTCAGTATGCTAGGTAAATTGCCGGAGAGATGGTGGCAGAGATCAGACTTTGCTATTTTCTCGAAGACAGCAGAGTCCTGGAGCTTGAGTTTGCGGGTTAGGTCTCTGGATCAACGACTGTGGCAGATGGTAAGGGGGAGACGCCTCGGACTTGCGAACTTATGGAGATGGTGATGAATTGTTTGAGGAGGCCCCTGTTGGAGGGAATGCTGGCTTATGAGCCGTCGAAGAGGGTGTCGGTGCGTGAGGTTATGGAGTCGGAGTTTATGGTGGAGTGGGCGTGGCCTGCGTTGTTGAGGGTGGGGAGGTGAGTGAGTGTCTTTGACTGGCAGTTTAGATTTTGTTTGGGTATATGTTTACTAGGAAGCACTGTTGGGTTGCTTTCAGAGTATATAAGCTATGGTAGTGATTTACAGCTCGCATGCTCTGATTTTACAGCTGGCAAATGCTTGGCTATTAGGGCCTTTACTAAAGAGATGAAGTTGTTCCTTCTAAACAAGAGGAAATTTGATATCACTGTCTATATGAGTCTATCCATGACACATCGTGGAACCACTTATGGTACACAGTCATTATTGTAATGTTGAAAAAGCACATGATGCAAATCATATGAAGATAAATCCCAAAACACCCTTACACCCAGCAAAAAGAAGCGAAGCAATCATCGACCAACAACTAGTCACTGTCCAAAACCACAACCTCGGCCTCAGCATCTCCAACACTCTCCACACTCAGCACATCACCCGCATTCACCCCTGTGATAAACGCTCCATCGCCCTCACTGAAAACCGCTTCGTCCCGATGATCCAATCGGATCTTGGCCTGGCCGTTCTTCGTCATGGGCAAATGCACATAGACGTTCCTCTTCTTCTTGCGGCTGACCACGTCTTCGCCAGCACCAACAGTCCACTGGAACTTCTGCCCGGGTTCAATGATTCCCGCGCCCATCACAAAGTCTGCGTGAATTGGGATCGTCTCTGGGATCTTAGGAATGGCGGCTTCCTCATCAGCCGGGGTTGCTTCGGGCCCAGCAGCCAGCGGGGAGAGGATAGGGACGAATGCTTTGCGTTTAGCGGCTTCGTCAAACGTGCGGGTGTGGTATTGGGGCTTGAGGCCATGTTTCCAGGGAAGAGCCCAGATCTGGAGGAAGTGGACGGGCTTATTGGATTCGTTTTGTTCGGAGTGTGCGATTCCTGGAGTGAATTGGTTGGTTAGTTTGGTCATTCGATTTGATGGTGATGGAGTCCAATGCTAGTCAACGTACCTGTTCCACCAGTGGTGAATTGAACGTCACCACGCTTCATACGGTAAAATTGCTTGCCCTGTGCGCCTTCCGCACCCTTTTTGATCATGCTATCACGGTGCGTGAGTTCTCCGTTGAGAATGTAGCTGAAGATTTCGGCATCACGGTGAGGGTGGGTCGGGAATCCATTACGGGCGGCTACACGGTCTTCGTTGAGAACGCGCAGACTGCCAAAGTTGTTGAAGCGGTGATCATAGTAATTGGCAAAACTGAAGGTGTGGAAGCTTTTGAGCCAGCCGCCGTGTTCGGCGTACCCGCGCTCACTGGAGCGACGGGCGACAATTGAAGCGTGTGCAAGAGGCTTTGACATAACGGAGTTGGTGGGAAGAATTGACTTGATGAGGAGCAGTATTAGAGGAACAAAGAATAGGAAGAGATAGGATGGTGTTGCAATTTGCATTCTGGAGAAAGTATTTCGTCGTTTGTCTAGATCGCAGATCGACTTTATACTCCTGGCCGGCGATCCGGGATTGGCTCGGGCGGGGCGCGGATGGGTAAGTAAGCATGGGGTAAGACTGACTAAGGGGTCCATCCAGCAAATTCCCACTCCATCCATCCCGGTTGCAAATCACTGACTGAGCATTTACAAAGTAGGTAGCTTCCGCTTTCGCTGATAATGGCGGAGTTTCACATTCCAACCCTCCCACCCTGCGCAGTCGGTGCTGAGCACGCGTCGGTCGATCATTACACTTTCTTTGTTGATGATCGGTAAGATTTTATCAGACTAACTGTGATTGGCTGAAAAGATGGTGTGTCATGATGTCATAATCGCTCTGGACGTTCAGCTTCAGACGAAAAGGGACAGCTTTGCAGAGTTTGAGATTGCTTATGGATCCTCCGTCTGGAATTTTCTCTCATCAACCTTCCAGCTTCTACCGTCTTCGCGCTGCCAGAAAGTCGCGGTAGCCTCTCCTGTGTTTTCATCGGGCAATTCGACATGAACATCTGAAATTCGGCACAGATAAGGCAGGACTGTAAGTGAATCACCCGCCTCTGGCAAGCTGAAGAGATCTAAGCTTTTTGCCATAGTAAGGCTTGCATCGATATTCCACTCTTCATAAGCAACTACCTCCTCCGCAATCCTAGCAGTAAGGATGCCATTCCATATGCCTTCACGGTGCGGTGCCAATCGAAGCAATTCGATCGCGTGTCGTCGGATCTGTGGAATCCGGCACTTAATTGCGGTATAATATAATGGCTGGATGAAGCCAATGTCCATCGTAAAAGCCATTCCCAACGGGCAATTGAGAGATCCACTCGTGGGGAAATCTGGATATGCGATTTTGAGGGCTTGACAGATGCCGATTGCCTCACGAATAATCGACATGAACCTGTCGGTTTGTAGGTCAAATGCCGTTTCGTCGTCCCATGGGATGCAGGTCGTGACCATGATCAAGGCCATAGCATGGTACATCCCGAGTAGCCCTCTAGCCAAAGTATTCTGAATCAGATCTTGAGCTGAGAATTTACCAAGTGACGATCGATAAACATCAAGCCATACTTCCAAGTCCTTTTCCAGGTGCCATTGAGACTCGAGAAACTGCTGGTAGCCCTGAGTCGCAACAAACATGTCCGTCTCGACGTGACGCCCCATTTCCACCAGATCCTGTGCTCTTGCCAGCAGACCATCCAGATATTGCCTTGCTTGTTCAATTGATGGAAATTCATACGGTAAGTGACGAGGTTGAACGTCATAGTCAAGGTTCGAGTACTTCGTCCCATGTCCAAGTAGAGCATAGTGCACTTTCAGTCTGCTAAAGACCTCGATAACATCATCCTCATTTGTTTGTGACGAAGTCCTTATCCGAAATCTTCCGGTCTTAGGGGCTCCGGCGAGCCTCTGAATCTCCTTCACCAGCCTCAGCCCGTGCTGTAGATGAGTATGACTTGTTCGGTATTGGCCTCGCATCATTTCGAGAGTCACGAAAACCATGCAAGTAATGAGGGCAACTATCATACTCTGCGTTTGTTTATTGTTGCGTCTCATTTCAGCTTGGAGACAGCCAATCGCTTTGTTGTAGTGCTGGAGAGTGAATTTCTCATGCTCGCTTAGATGACCTGCCGTTGCAGTACCTCTAACGCTCCTCTGAGTCCTATATTTATGCGTAGAGGCCAATGCCAAAACAGCATGCCGTACTGCTAGCTCTTGAGAAAGTGCTTGAACAACGGTTCTGCCCCAGAATTGGGAAGAAAACACTCCTCCAATTTTGAAAATGGTACACTGGATGAACCATTCCACATATTTCCGCTCAGCACATGCGGCATGAGGAATTGGGACCGGTGCATTGTAACTAGACAGCAGACTCTGGAAGGCTCTTGGTGCGCCAGTATTGCCGTCGACGGTGGGCTTTTTCGCTTCACTCCAAACCCCATAGCCATCGCAGACTCGGCCAGTTGATACGCATCTCTTGCAAGCCGGTCGACCCTCGTCGCATTTGACTCGACGAATCCTGTGTATAGAATAAGCACCACACCAACTTGTGTAACAAGGCAGCCGCCCAACTCACTTGCATGTCCGACAGCCTGTTTTGACTTTAGGTTTGCTCGCACGGCGCTTCTTCTCGGATTCCATTTCAGCGCTCAGCCACTGGCTCGGCTGTTCGCGGGGTTGCCTTAGTACTTAACGAAAAACTTGTCGCCATGCGTGTTAGTCATAGACTTAAGCGAGAGAAAGTCATAGCGGCAGAAGAAAGCAGAGAGTAATCAGTGAAGAGAAGGGACATGAAGGAGTTGCTTACAGGCTGCCTCGCTGCCTTGAGGCCGACCCGCTAACCCTTATTCTCATTGGCCCGCTCGTAAACTTTCCATTCGGATTGGTCGCTCAGGATCCACTTGTACAAGAAGTGCTCACTTGCTCTCCGGCCTTATCTTAGTCGCTTCGTCTTCGTCTTCCTCTTTCGATTCAACAAGGCGATGGCCAATTAGTCCGGTAGCCCACAGCTGCTATTACTAAAAAATTTTTGTACGCAATTAATGCAGGTGAAGCAGCAGCTGGTCGTATCAGTCAGCTCTGTTCTGAATATGCCCAGGGGCCATTGCGGTGACCGACATCCAATCAACTTATTGATGCATAGCTGTTCCACAGCATAATGGAAGTTGGAGTGATTTCAAATTCCATAATACTATGCCATCAAGATTAGCGTCTTCCGTTACCTGCTATGTATTTAGATTACCTCACGATCAAAGCGGCTATGCTGATGCCCAAGATCCCACGCTCGCCATGCAAACAATCTGACTCGACAGAGCTGATGCTCTCCGGAATCCCTCCTAGGCTGAATCTTCTATCATAACCTGTGATCCCATATGTCATTATAGCTAATTTATCTTTGGGGGTGGCAGTGATCGATAATAGGGACTATTCTTTATACTGCAGAGGGAGTGAACGGGCCCCTGGGAAATCGAACCAGTGGCTGCTCATAGCAGCCAATTACTCTGGTATGCAAGTGCGCTAGAATAAGCTTCTTGACAAAGCTTTAGTGGGCTTGAACCTGGTCAATTATGCTGAGAGCTGAAGGTATTCCATGCCTACATTATACGCCTCTTTGCGTCTTCGCTGTTCTTTGGATACAAAACTGTCTCGTGTATCGACATCCATGTTTGTCTTGTATTATCTTGGGCTTTCGATCTGACAACGTGTTCTATTCAGCGAATGGTCAGATACATCATGCATAAAACGATCTATAGGCCGAGGTTCGCCGTGTACGGAGCTCACATGTCGGTCAGCTGCAAGGACCGGCCTACTGTGTGGATGTCATCACGCTCGAGCAATCATTGGGCTGCATCAATCTTATGGCGTGACGCACTGGATTTACTAGGTAATCCTGTCGGGACATTGAGCGTACACCGCCGGCAATGTTCCTGGTCATAGTGGCTGGCTTAGCCACGGTTAGCCATCCCAAAGTACTGGGACCGAAGCTGGAAACGAATCGGTTAATGGAATAAAGGATCCGAAGTAAATGCCAATAAGAATGCCGGTTGTCTTTCTTAAGGTACTTAAATTTCCCCAATAGATTGCCTTTTCCGCGTCATCCGTTTGCCTAGTGGCTTAGGAAACTTAATACACCTGTTCTATAGGGTCGGCTGGATGCGACACTTTCAGTTAGCTTACTACGTGGTAGATAAAGCCCCGTGGAAGCGAGCGCAATCTGGCGTGCATTGATCAGTCTTATCTTTTATCTTTTGTGGCCCTTATTAAAACCCTTGCCGCAGGCATTTGGCCTAAATTTCTCCTTTCATTGTACGAAAAGAAGTGGACTGCGTCCTCAAGATGGCCCACTGGGAACGTCTGATCGCTGACAAACTCAATGACCGTGCATCCAAAATCCCTCCTGAATGGGTTCTTCCCAAGACAATTCTAAGCCAAATCACCCAGGATGCGAATATAAGTGCTTTCGACATCCTGAGACATCATTGTTTGCTGTCAAGAGAAGAGGTGACTATCACAGAGTCCTATGACGCCCAAAGCCTTCACCAGGAGATCATCAAAGGCCGGTTGACCTCGCTTCAGGTCTGCAAGGCCTTCTGTAAGAGAGCTGCTATTGCACAACAGTTGGTATTTATGTATATTGCAATCAGTTCGTGATCGGTCCAGCTAACGCAACTAACCAGACAAACTGCGCGACTGAAATCCTTTTTGCTGAGGCATTCAAGCGAGCAGAATTTCTCGATGACTATCTGGCCAAGTATGGAAAGCCTTATGGACCATTTCACGGCCTTCCTATCAGTGTGAAGGTAAGCCTCCGGTTCTAGTCGCAAATCATCGCACGTAAATCGGCAATCACTAGAGCCGATGCCTCTCCTAGCGTCATGGCCGCGAATCTCACCATGTAACAGGACAGCTTCAACATCAAAGGACAGGCCACAACAATTGGCTTTGTGTCTTTTCTAAGGAAGCCAGTCGCAGCTAAAAATTCACCCCTGGTTGATATCCTCCTTGCTAACGGCGCCATCTTGTATATCAAGACAAATATCCCACAGACACTGTTGGTACGAAGTTGCCATTTCTTTCGTCTCGCGATTCTCTGCTGATATCTGGTTTGCATGAAGACCATGGATAGCGTCAACAATATTTTTGGAAGAACTTTGAACCCTCACAAGCTTGGCCTCAGTGCGGGTGGAAGTAGTGGGGGTGAAGGTGCTCTGGTGGCCTTCCGAGGTTCCATACTAGGAGTAGGCACAGATGTCGGAGGATCCATTCGTGCACCATCTCTCTGCAACGGCGCATATGGCTTCAAGCCCACGGCAGACCGCATTCCTCACGGGAGAGTTGAGTTAGGGGACAGGCCAGGGACACCAGGGGTCGTCTCGGCAGTCGGACCACTCGCCAACAGTGCATCGGACCTGACTTTCTTTTGTAAGACAGTCCTTTCGTCGGAACCATGGCGCTATGATTCCACCGCTCTTGGGACCGCATGGCGGGATGTGCCCCTTAAGAAGAAGCTGAGTATTGGGGTTTATATGGGGGACGAGCACTTTCCCCTATTTCCTCCTGTCAAACGGGCACTTTCCTCCGCGCAGGCTGCCCTTGAAAATGCTGGTCACAGTGTCCATCTTGTGACCAATGCTCCTTCATTTCACGAAGGTTTAAAGCTAGCGGCACGATACTTCTTGTTCGATAATAAACAGACTCTTCTGCGGCACGTTCTAGATGGGGATGAGCAACCAATAAAAGCATTAGAATATGCCTCCCCGGCTGCGCTAGCTGGGATACAAGATCCTATACTGACGTTAGACGATGTCTGGGACGCCAATGCTTCTCTTATGGAGTACCGGGAGAAGATGGCTGAAGTATGGAAACAACATAATCTGGATGTCCTCATTTGTCCGGGTCACTGGTCAACTGCAGGCCCACATGATACTTATGGGCCGCCGGTATATACCGTTATTTGGAATCTGTTGAATGTAAGAGCAAGCAAACCTAAATTGGCGCTGTATAATCTGTGCTGATGCAGAACACTTTAGTTTCCTGCAAGCATCATTCCATACTTGAAGGCTAATAAGTCACTGGATTCGGAATCATGCAGTGGTTGTAAGTCTCTCTGATCTAGCCATGAGTATCAGCAACTTATTATAGCCATAGATGATCCTGACGCGGTAGATGGGGCGCCTACGGCTATCCAGGTTGTTGGGTGGAGGTTTCAAGATGAAGAAGTCCTAATGGCCACTGAAGTCATTGACAAGGCTCTTCAATCCGACCTACGATATCGTACAAGGCTATAGCTTGACGAAGTTTTCTAGGTTCGCTACCTTCCGTTGAATACGGGAGACAGATCTGTTTCAGTTCACGCGACTGTGCTCGCTATGAGCACCTATCCTGCATGAAAAAGAACACAGCCTATGTATATAAGTGATAACGCCCTGTTTAGGAATGACTGTAGGCAGGCCCATCGCCTGGGAACTTTGCTTTCGTGGCGTTTTCTTTCCCATTTTATTTTCTTCCCATTAGCTAAAGGTATACTGTGAATACTGATGAGGGCATAAACATGATCGCTCCCTTACTTATACTTGACGTTCCCAGTGCAGATAAACCACACCTAAATCAGGTCCGGGATCACTGCCTGTATGGCAGGCAATGCGTGTAGACAGATGTAGGAGCAGAACCTTGACCAAGGCCAACCACGGGCCCATTAGCGCTATGGGGAAGCCTGTGAAAGATGATGAAAGCAGGGGCAGATGGGTCCGGTTGTTGGGCAACGCCATAAGATCATCCACTTCGATAGGAACGGTGAATGACAGCACGGATTAGAATGATCCGTTCCGAGATCGAGTGTTATTTTCATAAGCTGCCTATTATCTATACAAAACTCTCCTCTCTGTTGTTTCTGAAGAGCGCGTGAGTCCAGGTGTTGCAGTCAACGTCGTGTAGCGAGGTTGTGGTTGGCGTGCTTGCACAAGAACTGAGTTGGTACACCGGCTTAGTATTTTCATTGCTCTTTGGCGTGTGGAACTGTTTAATATTGGCAGTTATCTGCCTTACTACTATCGCTCGAGCACATATTTACTCTCAAAGGTGCTTCTTATCACACCTGTTACCTCACAGGTACTAACGCGTTTCTTAGTGAAAAGGGCAATCAACAAGCATCATGGCGGGAAATAACAAGCGAGGCCTGGATATGCCAGATGACAACTTTATCGAAAGGTGAGCTACTACATGACGTTTCACAATATACATTGTTGATTCATTCATTTTTGGCTAACGGAGCCAATACTAGCTTGCTCCCTTTGCACAACGGGCCTTATGTCACTCTTCAAGTTGGCAGCGAAGGGCGCAAGTACAAGGTCTCGCGGCCTCTCCTCTGCAAACATTCGCCTTACTTCAGAGCGATGTTCGAAAGCGGCTACAAAGAGAGCCATGAGCAAGCGGTAACCATGCACGAGATCGAAGGCGTCGTTACAGAGCGCAGTCTCGAAATGCTGCTCCAGTGGCTGTACCTTGGTCGCCTGCATTTTCAATCTTCGAGTCCAGAAGAGTGCATCACTGTGTACATTGAACTTGCTCGTCTTGCCGATATGTGTAACATCACAGGGATGGAACAAATTCTGGCTAACAAAATCAAGACCATCATTACCAGTTCTATTCCCAGTGTTCCTCTATCGTCTGTCGGAGGTGAAGACTCGAAGATCCTCTATTTGACACCTGACCATATTGAATGGGCTTCGATGCTACTGAAGGGTCATCCCGTACGCTCCCTCATTGCTGAGGCTTCGGCCGGTGCCTTCATTCTCACGGAGAATTTCAAGTTCGCCGACGAGCTTCGTGAAATACCCAATTATACTGGTGATCTGCTTGATGAACTTAAGAGCTTGATCAAAGGGCAGATTCACGATAATAACGTCATCAATCACTACAAACTTACGTATTGGAAAGATGGTGATTCTTGAGAGTCACGAGGGTGTTTTATCGAATATGGCCCGATCACACTGGCGTGGCTCAGCGCGGTCAGCAGTATTAAGGGTATCTGCCTGTGCTATGTGGAAGCCTCCTCGTGTTTTTCCCTTTCCCCCTCATTTGAATTTCATGCAAGCAGAAACTAATCCGCTGGGGTTCTACTTAGTCTTGGGACTCTTGTCCTGGTGGAGTCGCTCTTTTGTGTATGCAGCTAAAGAAGTGTCGCTCTTTCTTAACTCAGGATAGCGACATGATGATATTTAGGTAGTCATAGTCACATTAGCGGGCTCAGTTAGACCAATGGAATCTGAATTGAACCCTCTGAATTCATAGTGTAATGGACAAAGGAATACTATGAAGTTGTTAAATACTTCTACGATACCATGTACCAGACGAGTTCGACTCCCAGGAAAGTTCAATAAGAACCCAGTTTGTTTTTGAACTCGCTATGTAAGATGCTAGACAAGCAGGTGCTTCACTGTCTGACCCAAGAATAAGGCCCTCAACGGCGTCTAATCTTCTTAAACTCGTGGAGAATGGAACAACGCATGCTGCAGGCGTAAGGAACGTCGTCGCCGTATTTAAACACAGCTAAACTTAATTCAACCAGGGAAATGCTGGCAGGAAGGCATAGGAGTGCGAGAGAGTCATGCTGCAGAGGCATTTTACCCCACTACCTCCATTACCAAACGAACCATGGATATGATAGTATAGCTTCGCTATTCTAGGCAGCTGCCAGAAACAATCTCAATTAATACGAAAGTTTGCTTGGTGACCACCAATGAAGGGCTTTACAGGCTGTCCAGAATTGAAATGCAAGGTCACCATAACAAGTCACACAAAAGATTCAGTTGACTAAATTTTTCGTTATCTTTCAAGCCACAAACACGCAATAGTGCGCTTGGGCTTTGTCATGGCTTTTGAGGCATATAGGGCAAAAGAGCGGGCTAGAATGTTCTGAGGAGACGATGTTGTAGCCAGAAACGGTCTAGCTATGTTTGCGGAGGTCACATGGGAGAAGAGGTTTTGCTCCTCCTATTTTGTACTTCGGATTCTACTTTCCCCTCCATTGTGGATTTACAGGGTTCTGTCTTCTTTATCCGTGGGATTTCATTACATTAAGCTTCGTCTCATCATTGAAACTACCACCTGGAAAGCCTCAGCTATATTTTAAACTTTTTTGAATTGATCTATACCGACTCCATATCACCGGGGTATCGTCTATATACAGATGCTTTTTCTTTTTCAGTCATGATGAAGATCCCAGACTCGCTAGGTGTCTTCGTGTGGTTTCATAGCCCATGAAATGTGCCTTTGTTTTGCGAGGCACTCATGACATGAGAATAAGGGGATGTGAAGAGTATTTGATGATCCAGCGTCGCTTTACTCGGCACTTTCTCCTTCCACACAACTCTGGCTGCCTCGGAATGAACGTCTTCCTCGTGCAAACCAGTCACACAGAACAATGAAGACAACGACGCCATAAACGGCCGAAACATAGTTCATATCTGCAGTCTTGTTAGTCACTTCATTCATCGTATATGATTGGTTGACATGAATACTTACTTCCTGTTGTGACTGGCATAGTCGCAGGGAATGAGTACATAACGAGACAGAAAAGAGTCCATGCCAGGGTGACAATGTTCGCAGCAAGACCCCACTTGCCCAGCCAGAATGGACCGTGCTTGATGTTGTCGCGACCAACATACAAAAGGCAGATAACGGGGATAGAGTACGAAATGTACAGAAGCGAGATGCACGCCGTGACCATGCTGTTGAAAGCGGTAGAGGATCCCAAGTAGAGCAGGCCGAGAACAGCAACAATGAATGCGCTGGCGTTGTGGGCATGTAAGGGGACATCCAAGGTCATGTTGACCTTGGAGAGCAGTTGATGTCCAGGCATACCGCGATCACGAGCGAAGGCCCAGGCAAGACGTGACTGCCAAGTGTGGCAGGCAATCAAGCAACCCATACCCGTCACTACTAGGAGGGTTTCCAGAACAATTGCACCTGCCCTGTTCTTCAGAGCCTGGTAGTAAAGTTCCAGGATGGGCACTCCTGTGGCGGTGTTCAAAAGTGCATCAAGGTCTTGGAGACTGAAAAACATCGCAATACAGTAGGTCCATGAGGTAACGAAACCAATGCCGACGGTGGCCATGATCGCAACAGGAATGTTCTTCTCGGGCTGCGGCACCTCTTCGGCAAGATGAGTGGCCGAATCCAAGCAGGCAAAGATCCAGTTCGGGTTGATCAAGCCGACAATGAAAGCGATTCCATCTGATTTCCAGCCAGTGGAGTTGACGAAATGCCCGAAAACATAGGATCCATTGGCATGCGGGTTGGCGCAAGCCGGGACAACAATAAGGATGACCAGGAAAGAAAGCAACGAGATGTACAGCGTTGCTTTTGCCACAGCAGGCAGGGTTTTGCCCCAACAGTTGAAGAGGTAGCAGAAGAAGTTGATGAGCTGGTATGCTACTACAGTATGCCAGGCTTTGGGAACACTGTGATTGGAGTCAGCACTACGGACCTAGAGCGGAAGACATTTCCTCTCAGGGAACAGATCTGGGATTTTGGAAGCATACAATGACGGATGGCCAAGTTGCCACATTCCCACAACACCGGATCCAAGACTGAGAGCAACACTGGCACTCGCGAAAATGGCACCAGCGTATCCGAACCAACCGGTAAGATAGGAGAAGAACCGGGCATATTTCTTCGGAGCAAGCTCGTTCGCCCAGAAGTATTGCCCACCGGCATTGGGCATGGAGCTAGCCAGTTCCGAGAGGGAGGCAGCGACACAAGTCGAGATAAAGGTGATCCAGAGCAAGCCGTAAACGATGAGGACGGTACCTCCAGAGCTGATACCGGTGATCAAGGATGCTGAGATACCGAACCAAGAGTTTGACATACAAAACGCAATGCCGACCAGGGATAGCAGGGAGAAATTGCGCTGCAGGTCCTGCGTGTAACCCATCTCAGCCAGCTTAAGCGCATCTGCATCTTCAGATCCAGACGCATTCTCGCCGGTTGAGGCCTGGTTAACGCTCAACTTCTTTTCTAGATCGAGACCACTCATTGTTCCAGACAATTGTGGCAAGAGTCAGCGTTCAATGACAAACGTTATTGCGGGCAGGTTTGGCGCAAAGGGCAATCGGAAGTCGCTGGGCTAGGTTGCCGTGTCTGCAGGGTAATCGCGTAGGAGGTCCTCGGGTCTAATCGTTTAGATTAGGGCCTGTTGCATAAGGGCTTAATATTTTCTCGAAAACGCTCGGCAAGAAGATGTTGCTGCTGGACAGTTTGACTGCGGTTGGCACACGGTTCGTGGGGTTCGGAAGTCGCAAATGGGTGTCGAAAACCGTTTGAGTCGCGAGGAGGGTAGGTCAACTTGTCGCAGGAGGGCTGAGAGGCTGTACCCGACGATACGGCGATACAAGGATACAAAACGCCCGAAGCAATCGGATTTACAGAAGTCAATCTGTGTTTCGCTGCGTGTGCTTTCAGCTATCAACAAAAGCGGATTGGTGTGAAACAGGAGACAGCCAATGCGGAGGATAATGAAGCACTAGACCTTCACCGCGAAGCTCGCAGAGAAGGACAGTGGCAAGAGGTGAGGGAGAAGAAAGGGTAAGATGAGAGATGGAGGAAGAGAGTGTCTGAAGTTATTATGAGGGTTGGGCCAAATTGGGATGCGTGAGAGTATTTAAGATCTAAGAAGATCTTTTCTTTCTCTCTTTTTCGCTCTTTTCCCCTCCTTCATCTTCGAATCAAGCCTCCTTCGGCGTACCCACCAGTCTTACGACGGAAGGGTTCCCCATATCCTGTTTGCTTCAGTTCGATGACGCTCCCCCATCTTCTGCCACTCCAGTAGTGATACTAACCATAACGGACATAGTTATGCAGACGCAGCCAAATCTCGTGGTTCCGATTCGTGTTTCGACCGCCTCATATCGTCATTAGAGGGTCTGTCCGGCCGGGAAATTAAGGTAGAGCGCTCAACAACCAACACATTAAGACCTCTAGTCATTTAGTGGCTCTCTTCTTACCAAAGGGCTCCTGTGGTGCTGGTGCTGCCGTTGGTGGAACTGCACTTGAGGTTCGGTGCCGCAGACCATCGCGGCCTGTCGTTGGCTACTCGCTGCTGCAGGGAGTGGCGGGCTCCCCACTTGGTGCAGTTAGTGGGCTTGGGTCCCGACGGCAGAATTTTACCAGACTGACTTCTTCCTCTGGACACAGGACACTTCTACGAGTCGGTGGAATTGTGGAATGGCAGCTCCGCTTACGGAGCTTCATAATCCTTTCTTTTTCATTCTCCTAGTATGAGTTACATTCGTCATACCGCCCGCAGAGGTGAACGTGTGCAGAAACCACGCACCAGTTAGGCCAGTCGGAGTTATTACCCCTTGGGCCCTTAGCAGTCTGGCAGGACCGGGCCGAGCTTAAGAAAAGTTTCTCGATAGCCAACACCAACCCCTCTGGAGGCAAACCCCCCTTTTGGCAATCACATCCTGAACTTTCTTTATCGTGACATCAAACTCCATTTTGCCAAGTAGCAAAGGTCAAGAAAAACCTGGGGTTTATTGAGCATAGTTCTGCATCACCAATTCACCATACACTTGAGGCAAATAATGAATCGGACCGGAACCCTCCGGTCTTCTTGTTGGGACTGTATCCGAACTTTCTCCAGCGGACCAGCTTCGACGGTCTTTCGCTACTAATACTGTCTGGGTTAGCTCGGTTGGCTCGCAACCGGAGCCACACAGTGGATCTCTATTCCAATCTGATCATCTTATTCGCAAGCAGTGGTCGTCTAAGACCACGAGAGGAGAAACATTTGACTAAGAGAATTCACCGGCCGACCTTTGTGTATCGAGGCATTTTCTTGGTACTCTACTCGGTCGAATAGAAACGGCAGGTTGGCCGCTACTTAGTGTACCTAAAGTGCCCGAATGAAGAACGCTAGGTTAGCATCAAACCCGGGCGACCCGGCAGGTCTTATGGGCGTAATGGAGTAATCAGTGTTCCCTCCTTCAGAGTCCTGTGCAGTTGGTTGCACTGCATTGAATATTCTGCTAGAAATAAGGATTTCTAGCTGGTGACCGATGTGATGACTTAACATGGGAGCTGGTGCATGCACAACATCAGGGACCTCAGCCACGGAATCCTCCCGCAGCTAAAACCGCCTGGGACTTCTCCTATCGTTAAGTTTCCTTCTTAGGGCCAGCAATCGTTGCCTCTCCGAGTGGACTAGGCCATTAAGTTTCCGGTGCCCGTTTTACCCTGCCTGACCCGACGATCGTTACCCTGCATCCTAGGCATCTCCGATTTCACAAATCACGATGAACAGCCACTCACTTGAAACGTTAACTAAGCGGCATGTTAGAAAAAATCCATATGCACCATTCCGATCTTCCGAGATGTCCCTTCACCACATCATGCCTGTGTACGCCGCAGAATACGTCTTGTCGAAGACTGTCATAAACTACTATAGTCGTAAGAGTTATTCAAGCCAATCGACTTCGCCGGTCATCAGCCGGTGCCTCTTTTGTATCCGCCACGAAGCTGGGGCCGTAGGATTCCTTTCCCGTCTGGGGGATAGCGCCTAGATAAGATTGTTTTCGACGCACGACTCTTTACCGCATTGAGTAAGTCTTTATTCTCTCTCCATCGATCTTACTTTATAGCTGCGTCTATTTTTCGAAACGGCTTCACCACCGAATTTATGGATACTTTTTCTGTTTTGGGGGAAGGTTTGCCGGTTCCTCGAGTATGGTAGTGCGCAGCGGCAGGTGATTGATAGAGATCGCTGATATAGGTGTCTACTGGTTAGACTACTTCCCTCTGGGCTGTCTGTCAGGGTAGTCGGCCCACTCGCTCTCGACGGTGAGTGTGACATTCTTGGGCGCTTTTACGGATATTGTCTGTTGAGCTAGGGACGTAGATCCGTTAACATGCCCACAATACTCACGTATCAAATAGAAATGAATACGCGTCGTCTCAGCCGTTACGAACACTTAGTATTTAGCTGTCTACACGGTAAATTGAATCGAACCGTGGGAATCATTAACGGTAGAAGTAGACCGCTCACTTACTCTCTATGGAGTACCCAGCATCTCCATTCCTGTAAGAGTCCTTTCGCTCGGTCGCTTTAGTAATAGAGTACTATCTTGTGTCGGCGATTTGGACCTCGAAGCTATTACTCCATAGACGATGGTGTGGTTATTGTGTATGGGGGCTCATTTCAACGGTCAAGCTTATGTTGTACTAACTCCACATAGAGGTAGACAGTCATTGATAGCGCGCTGATATATTGCAGGCTTACGTACTGATAATTCATGTCATTATCAATATAATTATCTGTTGCAAAGCGTCGCACAAGATCTAGTTGAGAAAGAATCTATCTTGGAGTTGTACAACAATGATATGACGGTCGGCCGCAAAGATTCACCAGGCACTTTGAAGCCTTATTTGGAGGGACAACATTGAGCAAGGTCAGCGGAGTCTTGGATATTGTGTACCAGGTTATCGGTTCAATATGTTTTGTAGTATTTTTCAGGTTATGTTTATGAATAGATAATATGTTAGATTTTTACTAGCGATAAATTTCTCTTTTCTCATTATAGACAGTCGTTCAACGAATGTTTCTCGGTTTAGTTCATCATCGTTGTAATACCACTACTACTATTGTAGAGGACGGCAAGATATATGTTGCCGCCTCGGTCGGGGTTGTCCCCAGAGGTTCGCTCAATTCTCCGATTAATTAACCTCGATCGGATGGGAGTATGACCGTATCCTGAAACTGGTTTGCTTCAGGTATTGTTCCTATGGGTTTTCTACCTACTAACGGTATAACCTTGATGATGAATAACCCTGGCCTCCATCCTTTCATCTATACGATGTGATTGTTCGCCATGCATCAGCCATGATTGCTGTCAAACAGAGAAAGCTGTTTCATCTTCAGGATGCTGTGCGTATAAAGCGAACCACTCCCGCGATAAACCCGGCACAGCTGAACTACAAAAAAAAATAAAACACTCTAGACTAGCTAACCTACAATCAGTACTTGCTTCCGCGATAAGCTTGAAGTAAAGATGCGTCCGGATCTCCCATCTGCATAATGCAAGCTGCAGCCTGCGACCGGCGGGAACAGCAGCACGCTAAGGCCCCAGCCAACCTCCCTAGTGGCTTGTTAGCCAGGAACACCCGGCGGTTTGGTCCCTTGTTTCCCCTGGCTTTCCCTGTTCCAGGTTGCTGACCGGGCGCTGTTCCTCCACAGTCTAACCAAACAATTGTTTCAAGCTCCTTCACACCAACTTGTTGGATCGTCGATCTGCATCTTTTATAGGACAAGCCGATTAATTATGGCACTCCTGAACATGCCCCAACCACATCCGACGAACTGCTCCCACAACTCGGACCAGCGAACCAGAAGGAGTAGTGAGTGCAGGGCTGCTCAGTCATCGAGGCGCACTGCCTCCCTTGGTTCCTCCTGGGGGAAATGACTTCGTTCGCTTAGATTTAGCAGCACTCGCTTGCCAGGCGGGGTGCTCGAGTAATCTATTCCATCGGGATATGGTTAACCCATCGCTTCTCCGTGAATGTTCCTCTATTGATGAAGATAAGAAGAAAATAGAAACTACACTAATCTATGCGACATGAGTTCATCTTGCAGGTCCTGCACCCGATCGGCGCTATGATGCATGACTAGCGACAGCAGATAGGATTGTGCGACACCCCTCGAGAGCTTGGTACACAGGCAGGAGTACTACTGAGCTGGGTGGGCCCTTCAATATCCCTAATTATACAGAGTTCAGGCCTGTCGACTCACTAGATCTCCCAACAACCAACCACAAGACAATGACAGTGATCCCTCCTAAATTCTTTCCCTGAGAGCCCTATTATCTGCTGGAATCTATGTTTAGCTGGCGAAGAGTGTAACACTCCGTGCGAAAAATGGGCCCATGGCCATTGTCTGACCCTGGTTTGTGACTGCGCCATGCTTACATTGCTAGTAGCTTACTGGGATGGCCAACTTTCCAGATCGGTGGACCGTTCCTTTATATAGTATCTATTACCCCTCCTGCTCCTGAGGAGTCCTTGGCTGCCCTGCTCTTTATTTTTGTCACTTTCCTTTATCACGATCTTACTTGTCTTTGTGCCTTATGGACGACATTTGACGTCCTTCCACTCTTTAACATCTGGTCTACGCTTCCATATTCTGCGACATTTTGCCATTCTTTTGTTTATTTTCTAGTCAATTCGCTCGTTTTCGCTATCCAAGGGAAAGATTTCTGGTTGATTCCAGCTAATAATTCGTGGCAAAAAACATGAGTAATGCAACTGAGTACTGAGCAGAGACCCTAGATTCCTGGTATCAGTCCCATTCCAAGGAATCAACAAGACAAGTATTGATCGGCGGACGTCACCCTTGTTTATCCTAGGGAAGAGAATGTAAGTTGCTACTGTTTCTTCTATTCTCTCCCTATCACGAGCTTGTTTTGTGGATTTATTCCTCCATCAGCCTTCGCCCTAAGCTGCATCCACGCGAAGGGCTGGTGGCGAGTGAAGAGCGCAGCCACTGGACTTGGTATGCAAGGGATCCCCTTGCCTTCAATCTGCCATCTACCTGAGCCCCAATCTTACAGATTGGACGGCCGAGCGCGCTATAACAGTTTGGTGCCCGTTCCAGAGTCAGTCGGAACTATTCCAGATTGCTTTGTCATTGTTGTTGTTATTCCCTTTCTTATACTATGGCTGCCACCCGCGTCGGCACTTGCTTTCCCTATACCAACTAGTTTTGACGGTTCCATCGCAGTGACTTTTCTTCCTTTCGGCTCCTTTCATTCTTTGCTGGTCACTCCTTACTACATTTGATGGCTTGAAGCCTTGACTTATACTTTCGGCGACGCGTGTAGTCGATAAATCCACTCATTAAACTGCACTCACTACCGCGCGTTCATCTCCATCGCTTATTTGAAGACCTATTATCGACCATGCGACAAAACGTCGCTTTTCTGGCCTGTTTGGCCGCGCTTTCTAGCGTTTCCCAAGCCTTTTGGCGTCTCCCTTGTCGTGGACGAAGTGGTGTGGCTCGAATTGACCCCATAATGGCCCCTGGGAAACCATCAGACCATGTCCATGTGGTTCACGGATCAGGAGGTTCGTCTGGCTCCAGCGTGTCTGCATGATCATGCCTCCGCTAAACCTGGCTTCATAGGTTTCTCTATGTCATCGGGCGAGACGGCCCTGAAAAATGCGGATTGTACCTCATGCGGGGTGACTCAAGACAAGTCGGCTTACTGGGCCCCCGCGCTATACTTCATGCATGAGAATGGCGATGCTGAGCTTGTCAACGAAGTGGGCGGGATGCTTGCGTGAGTGGCGAAGCCAATACCTAGTGCAGTCATACGCTAACCGATTCTCGCCAGTTACTACTTCCTGAATGGACAGAATGTGACGGCATTCCCTGAGAACTTCCGTATGATTGCCGGCGACCCATTCCTACGCAACTTCCCTTGGCCAGTTCCCGACCCTCCAAAGTCCGAATGGTCTGGCAATCAATCCTCACAGGACGCTCTTCGCCAGAAAGCCCTTGGTTTCAACTGCTTAAACTACAACAAGTCTCCTGAGCCGTCGCTGGGCCGCCACTTCCTGCCAAACAAGACCTTCCTTGATGAGCATTGTACTGATGGCGTCCGATTTGAATTGATGTTCCCTTCATGTTGGAACGGCAAAGATGTTGACTCGGAGGATCACAGGTCGCACATGGCCTACCCATCCCTAGTCATGGACGGAGTTTGTCCGGAAGGCTTCGAGACCCGCCTTGTGTCGCTCTTCTATGAAACTATCTGGGACACCTATGCGTTCAAAAACAAGCAGGGAACTTTTGTCCTTGCAAACGGTGACCCAACTGGATACGGCTACCACGGAGACTTCATCTACGGCTGGCAATATGGGTTTCTCCAACAGGCAGTAGATGAATGCACCAACCTGTCTGGTCGGGTGGAAGATTGTCCCATATTTGATCTTCAGACAGATACCGAGCAGGCTCAGTGTAACTTCACCATGCCAGAGGAGCTGAAAAGCGAGAACGTATACCTTCACAAGGGTGGCCTGCCGAATAACATCGCCATTCAGTATGGACCTGCGTATGCAAGCCCAGTCCGGTATACCAACGCTGGCCATCATACCTCGGCGATATTGCCTGAGCCAAGCATTGCTATCGGTGCTTCTCTTAACGGTGCTACTGTTGATCTCGGAAATATTCACATTGGAGTAACGCTGGGTGCGGGTGCCCCTTCTACTACTACTACGACTTCAAGTACTCTCTCGACTTCAACTCTCCCATCTTCGACACAAACTTCAACCTTGACCACTTCAGCAGCTTCAGCTTACTTTTTCCAAACCAGCACGTCAACTACACCAACCAGCACCTGGACACCTACTCCTACCACATCTTATGTTGAAGGTGTTGTCACTCAAAAGATCGTATACGTTGAGCAGGAGATCCTCATCCTCACGGATGAAAACGGAGCACCTGTCACAACAGAGACGGGTGGAATCGAGACAGTCTCCACTTCTACATCTACTGTGAACAAGATTGTATCAACAGTCGTGACCACGCCAACCGAGGCCCCTGCTAAGCGTGATGGTCATAGCCATGGGCATTTCCAGCATGTCCATAGGCGTCATCGTCACGGACATGCTCATCGGTGATTCCATCGGGAATCCTCCTATTGAAAGCGACTGGCGCGTACGTTGACAATGCCTATGGTATAAGCACATAAGCAAGAC